CATCCTGGATTGGTGTTAAATGATCACCGGAGTATGACTAGTTGTCAATGAGCACAATTTGTGTATGTATTCACTATTCAGTGTTACTAACCAGTAGTGCCATACTATCATAGGATAGTAATTATGCAAAATATATATTTATTCTCAAATACTTTACAATACAGAACACTACATTCATAAATCATAGACTAATAATTATGTTAAAACTTATAATTTGTATTATAATTTTTAACACAACATAATTTCGTTAAATGAGGCGTCCAGTTTCAAAACCAGCTAAAAAGGGCGACTTTAATACCAACCCAGATATTCCCAACACAGTTTCAGCTAGTTATAATCTTTATTTTATATTCAATAATAGTTTTACATACCACTTAATACAGTATGGCTACTTAAAAACTAAAACACGTTTTAAAATGCCAATTAGCTGGCTTTTAAATTAGACGCCTCAAATATACCAAGATGTGAACAAATTAAAAATTTTAATTACTTTAATTAAAATTTTTCAATTTTAAAATCCTACTACTAAGTACCTACACTATTATTTCATTAGTTCATCGTCTCGTCAAAATTAATTTTTAAACACCCCATTCAAATCAACTACCATTGTAATATTAAGTTACAAACACACATTAACATACATACTATTTTCCACTGTGTAAAAACAATCAATTGCGCTGTTATATTTTTTATTATTATTAGCCGATTTTTATTTTGTTTTGACTACCGAAATAGCCGTACTGCCACGTCAGCTCGGGTTATTACCTATTATAGTTGTAATGTTATTATTATTATTGTTATAGTATTTTTTTACGTTTCGTTGAATTAACATGTAGTAGTACTTATCCAGACCAGCTGGAGTTGCAATGTTTGATGTTGTGCTTAAATTAATTAATTGTCGTGCAATTTAAAAAAGTTATTTTTTTTTTGTTGGAACATGCCTAGTAAATATTAATAACGCCGCGCCGCGACTACCTATAACATTTTAACCTGTTATATTGATATTAATTATTACTCAACCGTTAAAGCGGTTAAATAACATCTCTGACGACGACGACTCTATCTGAAAAGATATATTTTTATTTACATTTCCTCGAACGGTCCAAGTCATAAAACTGTTTACAATCTAATCCTTAATCGAATATTATAATTTATTGCCATTTGGTTAGTAGTAGGTACCTACGTCGTAGTACTGGTATTCTAGATTGATCAGCAGTTCGTCTATTAACTTTTAGATATCCACGTAGGTATACGAATAGCATGCACGTGCAAGTTGTTAGCCTTTCTTGGTTTCACAATTAAAACGGCAAACATATCGGTAGACATAAACGGATTGTTCGGCACTTAGGTAGAGGTCGACCAAACTGACTTCACCGGACCGCCCAGACTTAAATAATAAGAGCAATTTAACGTCTTAATCGCCGATTAAGCCGCATGAGCGTTTTGTATATACCTACTGTAAGAGAATAGAAGCAAAAAACACTCATTATAGTATAATTAATAACAGCTCTTATATTACACACAAACACTGACATGGCCGTCGACCGTTATAGGTCATACCGGCTTAACCATACAGTTGGTTTTGTGTTATGACAGCTGAATACTAATGTGCACTTTTCGAGGTTTAATTGTCCATAAACTCGGAGGACATGGCGTAGGAGGCAGCGGAGAACATATTATCAAGATACGCTTTAATAATCTAACACGTGGAAGCCAACGACTTCGCGTGTCAAACCAAGGCTTGCTCAACAAGTCTGATCTTCGAGAAAAGTCGTAGTTAGTATAGATCCGACTGATATTTAAACAGTTGGTAAAGAAAATACATCAACTTTGATAGTACTTATGAAGTAGATCTATATTACAATTAAATCGTACCAAATAAATCCAATTTTGCTATTGAAAATTAATGAGAAGACAAAATTACTAAGGTACGCATAAACTAACGCTAAACGATATGCAAATGCACTTATACTGTTATTTTAAAAATCTGAAAAGGCAATTCAATCGCTGTCTTGCTTGCTCCTATAAAGTTAGCAATACATAGTCTAAACAAATTTCTTCGTTTTAAACAATACATTTGCTGTGTTTTTTTTTTTAATTAATAAATATATTTAAAATATCATTTTTTAACAAAAGAGTTTGAACTTTTAAATATTATCCTTGCGGCCATTGATCTATATCTTTGAAGCTGTTTGGCAAACGGCCATGGTCGTTTTTTAATTTTCTCAGAACACTTTTGAAGTATTTATTGAACCTATGCTAAAAATTATCAGTAGGTAGGTATTCATATTTTTTGGCCATCAATTGACATGTGTACTATTATATATATATATATATATTATGACCGTCATAAATAAGTATTTTATGATACCTATTCATATGATCGATTTAAAATCATATCTTTTGTAATCATAGGTAATAGGACCTAATATTATCTTTAAATCGTTGGCTATTATTTAAATTGAAATAGTCAATTGAAAAGTGCTGATCCGCTAAACCAAATAAATTATTACTCTACGCGATTGTAAAATTGAAAATGACATTACGGAATAACAAAACAATATAGGTTCAGTTAGCGGATTGACAAAAAAAAATTGCAACGTTGCCATCGACGTGGTCGGTGAGATTCGCGAATGGAATTAATGCGTTCATCAATTCTACGTGCGTATATTGGAATATTAATAGGTACAATCAGCGCTTCAAATTGGTTACATAAAAGTTAATCGAATCAAATGTAAAATTTTATTACAACAGCTAACCTAACCTAACCTCAGTTGACAAAAAATCTTTGCCGTATGGTACGCCATACAGATCGACGTGGACAAAAAATTATAAATAATTATTATTAAAACGACATCAAATTTGATGGGAAACCAGAAAATAAAAACGGTATTTTGACGCAAACACGTGCATAAAATAATATTAATAAATTGTTAGACTAGTTTTCTATTTTTACTAACTGTTCGTTTTAAAATTAATTTACTAGAACCGTTGAAAATATTATAAAATTCGTATTATATAAAACTTGTCCAAGAAATGTATGTAGCGCTCAACCCGTTTTCTATCCATCAAATTCGATGATTTTGCAAAAAATGTATATAATATATATATATATTATAAACGATAGTGTTTAAAATAATATTGTATATAAATCGACAGTGTAATCGCATAAGAACTAACTACCAAAATATTACCTGCATTAGTATACAGTTGGATACGCATCTTTAGGATTTGTACTTTTTTTTTGTAAGAAAGGGGAATAAGCAAGATTTTTTTTAACACTAGCCCTTGAAATGACATTGACGTTGGTTTGCACTCTTTGTACATCTGTAAATAATCAGACTGAGTACTTGCAAAAAAGTATTAAAAACCGTATTTAGTGTTATTGTTAGCTGTTTAAAACTATCCGCTCATATACCATACGAGTTTTTTATGTTTTTGAATATTAACAATACGTTATTTTTGCTTTAAACTCATTTTGAGAAAAATTAACATTAGGTGGGGTTAATTTAAATAAATTTGTTTGTACAAAAATAGCCATCGTTTGATTTTAATGATGGATGAATATTTATAATCATGTGATGCTAATGTGTAACAATATTAAATACAAATGACCATTTTTGATTCTTTAAAAAAATTACAACCATTGAAGGACGGATTTTCAGAAACTTAAATTAAATAGCAAGAGTGGCTACAAATTAGGAGTAAAGGACCACTCGTATGTCACCTTGTTCCCGACATTGACTAAAACACTGATTATAACCATCTGCACAATTTCAGACTGATAATAGGTTGGTAAACTCAAAAGTTATGACTGTGATTTAAAATTTTCAATATTAAATATGTCGTTAAATGTAAATTATATTAAGAAAAGCGCAACTTTGAATTTTAAGGTTTTGAATATAGGTATCTATAACTCCCAGAGGTGGACTGGATGATAAAGACCTAGAAATCGTAAAGGCCTCGTAGGGAAAAAAAATCAACCAAAGCATTTTAGAATTTTTAAATAAATACTCAAAATGTTGGTGCCGCCTCTGCGCCAACACGTCCTCGAATTGCGACCTTAACCGCTAAACGGTTAAAAGTAAAATTGCTATATCAATTGCAACCGTTGCAGTGAATGGCGGCTAATGCTAATGCGGGCGATTACAATAATAATAGCGTAGCTACAATATCATACTATTCTTAAATTGTTCGAAGACTATATTATATTCTGTGTAAGTAGGTAGGTATAATATTATCATACTATACAAATGTCCCGGTAGGTGTGCGAAACTCGTAAGTCGTAAAGCCCGTTTTGACATTGACTTCTGAATTCGCCGACGGCGACGGCGGCCGCGTCCGAAGATAATCGCTGAGCAGAGTTAAAAAAAAAAAGCAAAAAGGAAATAAAATAACCGGTCAAACGGATCCGATGGAGCGGTGGGCGGTGTAGGGTACCGCGAGAGGGGGACCGCTAGGAACGGTAGACGGCGATGGCGGACTACCGTGATGGTGCCGGGAGTGGGGAGAGCTCGTAACAGGATGATGATGATGATAATAATAATAATAATGTGTATTACAGACATATATAGCTGTTGCCGGTGTGTATATACATATTATCGTATACCTGTTTGCGAGTATAACCGTGTTCTCGACGAACGGGTTCGGGGTCCGGCCGCCGTGTCTCTGTACCCCGCGCATGCGTGCAACCGGTTACATCACGACGACAGGTTTCCCCGCTCGCCCGCCGCTTTTTTATTTATCATCTCTTATATTATACCACCTCCTCCTACTCCTCAGCTGTACTTCGGGCCGGCGTACCCGCGACCGCCCGAAATACCACTATACCTATACAGCGTGTATAATACAACCGAGAACCGTGATCTTGGCAGTGGTGCAGTCTTCCCGTCCTCCACCGCCAGGATTGTACCTACTACAAGCCATGTTATATGCATACCCCCACCTACGCCCGTAGCCACCGCCGCCGCCGCTACAGGCAGACCCGAGGACCTTCGGACCGGCAACACAGAGTCCGCCATCAGTTCGCCGTTGCGTACCGTCGTCGATTGATCGTGTCGTATCGCACGACCGCCGTGACCGTGATTTTTGGCCCAAGAGCTGTTTTATATTATATTCTCACCACAACCTGTCCAGAATCTCTAGTGTCGTTGTCGATATTACAGTGTGTCTCTTCGTTGTGATTATTGTCGTTTTGGATATTTTTATATTTTGGTTTTAATCGAATAATATAATATCGTTTATACATTTTTGCGGAAAATGGTGGTCGACATAAGTGTGTTCGGTTACGTGCCGCCGGCGCGGTTAGCTGTGTCCATATAGCACGAAGACTGTTTTCGGATTGCTATACCTATTGCCAATACAACTTTAACACTGTTCGCGTAATAACATTATTTTGATTTTTTATTATTGTATTACCGCGTTCGTCTGACCGGCCGAATCATGCCCAAGATATTCCTCATAAAAAACCGGTTGCACCAGCAACAGCAGAAACTGTTGGAGAACCAAAAGGGAAACTCGCAACCCACCGACCCGTTGATACAACAGTACGATCATCACCACCACAGCCGGCTACAGTCTCCGCCGCTGTCTTTAGTACACGGAAAACATCAAGGTGAGCCCAATCAAAACAATAATAATATACTCTTAGAACCAAAAATAAAAATATATTTATATCTTTATCATTTAAATCGATCACTGTATTTGTAAATTGACTCGGCGAACGACGGCCGCGACGGTGCCCGTGTCCAAGCTCGCTCGCTCTAGGAACACTTACGGTGACTGACATACATAGACTTAGACGCGGCGGTCGCTTGAGGCACCAGATATAATATTTTAGTATAATGTACCTATAACATAGCTGATAATGATATTAATATTATGGCGTTGAGCTTATCTGGTAAATATTGTTTTGTTAATGTTTTCGGCACCGTCACCCCACGTCTTTGATGATGTTCATATTGTATTCATGTTTTATTATTATTTTAATATTATATATTATTATTACTATATACCGCGTTGTTGGTCGTCTGTATTAAAGTCTCTGCGGGTGGGAACTTCAACGCCAGTGCACAAAAGTGTTGCGCTCCGTTTGGATTATTACAGATCGATAGATAGGCCTTATACAACACATAGCGTTACATTGTTTTTTTAAAATTTATTATTATTACATATTATTATCGTCTTATAGTAGTACATTGTATACGAGCTTATACGGAGTTTTTTCATAATAATAATATTAGACAAATGTCAGCGACATATTATTATTAGATTTAATGACGTTCCCGTACAGTCGTCTCTCTCTGGCTCTTTCGAATTCGTTAATAGTTTTTCTACAATATTATTATTATTATTATTATGTGCTTCTTAACGACTGCCTACGATGACGGGCGATTAATTAATTTCTCATTATTAGCTTCCTGTAGAATTCGCGGAATGCGTTTATGGGTCGCAACACCGGCAATTGCCTGTATATTTTAATAATAATATAATATAATAGTGTACATTTATATTCAAGCCGGAATAACATTGTCGAAAGCGTTTAGGCCGTCGGATACGCCCGCAAACATCCGGAGCAATAAGTAAAAAAAAAAAAAAACGTTAAGGATAAGAAAGCATAACAAAAAAAAACAATTTAATTCTATTTTTTTTATCCTCTTCCTTAGTTTTTCTTTGTATTGTTGCCGTTTGTTGTTTACACAATATTGAAATTTGGCGGGACGGTTGGCGGATACCAGGAATTTCTAAGGTACTCGCGCGCCGTACGGTAGTTGACCTTTTTCTACCCACGATAAATCTTATGGTTTTCAACGACTTGCATGTGTACGGAACAGGTACGCGCCAGCAGTGGCCAGAATATTATATACAGGAAACATACATTTCATACTTCCTGGCTAACCCCCGGGACCACCGTCGAGATCAGGACAATGAGCCAGGACCGAATCCGGTGTCTCTGCGATCCTTGTTTTAAGTCCCTTTCCGACCTTGACCGGGGTCCGTTGATCGAACAATATATAAATGCGGTTTGGGTTTCCCATTCAATAATACAATAATCAGCAATATTCGAATCCATTTTTTTGTGTCTATCTAGTCGATCGAGTCGAAACTAGACTATCAATCATCGAATTTTTTATGTCCCAAGGAGAGAGAGAGAGAGAGAGAGAGCCCATACTTAGGGTATAAGTAGGCTATACAGGCGGCCGTGTTAAGCTAATTACAATATTCGTATACTCCACGACGTAGGTAGATAATATTAATGTATACAGCCTGGCCGAGGCGAATAACAGACGAGTAAAGGGGAACCTGTTGTGCGTTTTTGGCCGCCGGTCGTCGTCGGTATGTTATTATACTTTCTTTGGATTTCTCGACTGGCAACAGTGCACGGCTAAATAATATACAACGTCCTCTGACTTTAAAAGACCGGCCAAAAGTTAGAGCTCTTGACGTTCTCGGCGAAAAATCAATTTTTTTTTTCATCCACATAAATGCGACTGTGGTGTAGGCGTCCGTCTCGTGAGAAACCGGTTTTATCCCGTTAGTCGCAACACCGTCAGTAGCGCTGGCAACGTTATAGCTATGCCTATACGTTTTCTTAGGCCTGTGTATACGTACGAGCAAAACGGTCAGAGAGGAAACGATTTTCGCGAGAAAAAAAACGTAAGCCGAACAATACAAAAATGTATAATACACTTATTGTATGTACATACAGAGGAGTGCGGTACATTATAAATAAAAAAAAATGAGTAAAAAAAACAAGGTCAATTTCGTTTCGCTTCACGGCTCGTTGTTACTACCGCCGCGGGTTCAACGCTCCGAAGACACTTGCCGTCGGTTGGTCAGCAAACTGGCACAATGCGCGTTCCGACGATTTGCTCGTAATAATTATACCACAGTCTTCTTTCATGCTTGTTTTTTTTTTCTTAATAACAATATTCTTTCGGTCGTTTTTCATGTCTTGTTTTTTTTTTTTTGTCTTTTTACAAATTATTCGCCGCGCTACACGGTACCGTGATTTTTCCCATCGTCGCGTTTTCCTTCCCCTACCCCCTTCCCCCTGTCGGCCGCCATCTTGCACCGCAACCCGCTATGCAAACGTCCGCGGTTTTTCCGCTTGCCGAGCACACAGACGTTTTGCCCGCAACGACATAGACCTCAACCGCGGTCGACTGTCAACCTGAGCGACCGTGACTTTGAACGCTCCTCCTCGGTAACTACACCGAACCATTGGCCATATTATTATGAGCACGGTTGCTTTAACGTGATTTTAAAAAAAAAAACCTATTATTTATCACAAACCAGACGTGTCGCGAATACAACGGTAAGAGTCGAGGCCGGCGACGGCTACCGTACGCTACATTATTATGGCCCAAAGGCATGCACACGTCTAGCTGGCGGTTGCTGAAACCTTGGTAGGATATCCGAGCTCGCAAGGCCTCAAACTAGTGGCAATGCTAAACACATTATCAAATAGGAAGTTTACGGGCGGCATATTATATTTTTACAGGAAACGTCTTAACGTCGGTTAACCGAACACACACGGTCGAGAGTTAAAAAACGAATATCATTTTTTTTTCTTTTCTCGTCATCATAGTATTGTACGCCTACGCATGAAAGACCTGCTCGTTTAGGAGCCGAACGCGTTTAATGAACGTTCTACGTGAATGGATAAATGTACCGAAAGCGAGGGTGAAAATTCGGTTGAATAGTATTATTTTTTCCACACATATTATTATTATTATTAACCTAACCGGCTGTATTGTTCGACTGTGTAACGCGCGATATGGGAACGTCGAAATTCTTCTCACACACTCACTCACTCTCCCTCTATCTTTGTTTGTCTCTGATGAGATGTCCCTACCCGCTTAGGGGTAGGACTGCCACCGTTGCCGCGTAGGACACAGGTGGACTAGACCGCGGTGTACAGGTGCCCCCAAATCAGTGCGCCTATTGTGCCAGTAGTTCTCAGATACGCGAAGGGTGTGCTGGTCGTATAAAAGATTTTAACGATCCTCCATTGTTGCTGTGATAACAATCCGTTTAGTCTTAAAAAAAAAAAGATAAATAATAATAATAACATTACCGGTTTTTCACCATAGCAGGTGTTAGCAGTGTTTACCTACCTATTATTATTATGATAATGTACTTAGGTAAACGATATAATCGTTTTAATTATTTATAACAAATCAAATATTATACAGAAAAACACACAGCTATCTCGTTGCCAGCTTTCTTGATCCGCTGTATACAAATGTTTTACCATTAACTAAACCGTAACCGTGTTACCTGCCGTCGAATGGGATAGGCACTTGGCACGCCGTGATACTTATCGAAGCGCAAAACCGGACCACTTTCTACGCGGGTTTAATATGATATTTTATTATGCACGCTCCCGGCTCAACCGACATACTATACCCGATTTTATGAAAATTCCTTATCGACAACACAGTGGTAGAATTCAAATTTAGGGGGCATAAAATAGGAAGTAGAAACGCTGGGAACTTTGTAAAATATGTGCGATTATAATGTACGTATCATTATTATTCTAATGATGGTATTATTATAATATTATATTGTATAGATAATAATAGTAACGGTGGAAGTGGTAGCGGTGCGGGCGAAGAGAGGGGAGTGGAACCCGTAAGACGTGAATCACTGTTATAGTCGGTCCGTAGTTTTCTTTTGTCCCCCCCCCCTCCCCGGCGTAACCGTACATGTTGTATATACATCTTATATACTATCGGTATAATATATGTATATAATATTATATATATATATATATATACAGTGCTTCCACCTCCTTGCAGACACCGGCACTGCCGCCGCCGCCGTCGTCGATGGTATCTCGTGCGGCCGTTAGCCGTAGCCGTCGTAATGAACCTGAAACGAGTTTTACCTTGAAATCTATTGAGGTGTGTACACGGGTGGACACAGAACCGACTGGGAAGAGAGAGAGAGAGAGAGCTACTTGCCGAGGCGGCAACCGCAACCAATGCCAGAACGTCGTTATTATTATTACTCTTGAGATTTTTTTTCTTACATTATTCTACACGGCTCTCCGTGTCCGAGGTATGTGGACCACCGCCATGTACACACACTTTCGGTTGTACGCTCCAGGATAAAAGAAAACCAGCCCGAACGCTCGTCCGCACAATACAAAGCGTCTAGGTTTGACTTTTCAAAGGGACGCGTACACCGATGAATATTTTATACAGATTTGTTATTTCGCTAAAACTAAAAAAATCCAACCGGCTGTAAAGCGCCAAGGCCGGCGACGGGCACCCACATTGTACCTAGCCGAAAAACAACAAAAACGGTATATAATTATTAAATGTGTATCGAAACGCAGACGGAGACCGTTCATTGGCGAAAACACAATGTATTTTTGTGTGTGCGTGGTCTCGAGGACGGACAAATAATAATAATTAACAGTCTGACGATTTTTCTATGCGTGTGTGCGTTTTTTTTTTTGTGTTTTTTAATTCGCCTATCCGGATAAAGCCATCGGACTCGGCGGAGGACGTCGCCAATTCTACGGCCTCGTCCTTTGCCGTCACGGCCACCGCCACCGCCCACGCATTCTAGCGGTTTTTGTTTTTTTTTTATTCCTCTTGGCCTCACGACCCGGGGACAATGGCACTGTATACTGTACAGTGTGTATATAATCATATTATTATAAATAATTTATGTACACCGAAAACGTGAGGCGGAATATCGTCGTCGTCGTCGTCGTGGTCGTGGTCGTCCGTAATAAAATATCGGCCCTACTTCTTTATTATCTGCCGCACGACCGCCCCCTTCGAAAACCGTAGGTACGGGTTTAAGTGCATTGCGGCACACGTTAAAACATATAAAATACATATGTCGTGGAAGGCAAAGAAACCTACATTATGGACATCTGCGCGATAAAATATAATAATATGTGTCTTATGTGCATTGGCACGGTTCAAATCTGATGACATTAACAGAGGGTACAGAAGAATATCCAAAACTCCTTCGATTCGACTATCGATCAGTTTGGCTTGCCAAGAACTACCATTCCAATGGGTAATGGCTGTCTGTGACTTGGCTTAAGTAAAAATAATAATAAGCGGTGCGTTCAAATCTCCGGCAACACTGCGGTCAGCACACGCCTCGTGTCGTTTTACTACAATGTATAGAGAGGCAGTTACATACAGTGTGTTTTGACCATATGTGGAACGCACGTGTGCGAATCGACTCCATCTCAGAAATTCGTGCCCGGACGAAAATTCTGAGGTTTGTCCACCTAAACCGCATTAAAATACCAGTATATATACACACACTAATACAATGCTAGTGTTGAATGTATAGGTAGGTAGGTACGATATAGCGGTGACACGACCAAAATGTGTGGACTCCTCGACGTCATATCCCGTTATGACGTGGCCAAACGTTTCAGTGTATTGTAACGGTCTTCCTTGCTATATACTACTGTCGTTAGATAAATCATTATGTGTAGTTTTGTATATTTGTTTTTCTGTTGTTCGACACGACGTGTATTTGCTTACTCGTTAACGCACATAACTATACTCGTATTATTATATTATACTCGAGTGAAGAGAAAAATAAATCAACCCACACGATCTGCCGAAAACAAGTCGTCTTTTTGGCAGACATTTACAAAAAAAAAATATTTAAATATACTTCTATAATGTCTATATAATAAGTAATACAAGGATAACAATTACAATATATATAAGTACCTAAATCGTATTGTGTCTGATGCGTTAATCGCGTCACCGGCCACACTATATGTATATACATATAATAGAAACCGTTTTCCGATGGTAGAATTCGATAGGTAAATTTCAAACGACTGCACCAAACATATTATTGTTATTAAATTGTATATATTCCTCTGTCTATCTTGTGCGACAACAATGCCTGCCGTCGCACATACACCGACTGTCCTTGGGAGATTTTAACGACCGCGACCATTATGTACCGACGTCGAACACACTCTCACACACACACACACACACACACACACACACACATACCTACATACAGAGTATAATATATGAACTTTGCCTTGAACTTGGTTAATGATTTCAAATTCACCGAATACATTTCGCACGGTATCCGATGTATGTACCTCCACGTCGCGCATATGTACATATATCTATACATTTATAATTGCACACACACACACACACACACACACATGCTTAGGTAGGTAGTATCTGTAAAGAATATAAAAAAAATACAAGTTTTTCCAGTCACGTTCTCGGTTTTATTCGCACAAACGAATACATACACAGAACCTGTACTTTTATAATACTATTCCGTTTTTTAGTCTCATTTATACATTTTGATTCAAGATGTAAAGACAAACAAAACCAGTGACAGTTTATAATATTTCATTATATTAGTGGGTAGGTACGAAAAAATACTACCGGCTTGTTCTATACCATCATCGACGTGTAGTAAAACATTATATTACGTACAATAAGATACGGGCACATAAAACAAATTAACGTTATCCGTCAGTTGGCGGACAACTTTTTTTTGCTATTACCTCACTAGAAATGTATTTTGCGGTACCCAAAAGCGTTTGGCTGTTGTGCGTGCGTCGACGAGTGCAACGACTTTGATCGTTTCGGTTGTGTGATTGCCACACTATTTACCATACTTATGTATAATAGTTGTGTTGGGTTTTTCTCCTCGATTTCCTATTTGGTTCGTCACCGCGTTAACTCGGCCAGCGGAACGATGCGAAGGCCCAAAGAGGAGAAAAAGCGTCTTAGCACAGGAGTTTCCAATGTCGTTTCCTCTCGATGAACACCGTACAGCCTCCCGCCTGTGTTTAATCATAGGCAATCCGGTTAGAACCGTTGGCTCTCTGGTCGTGACTCGTGACGCGACCAAAACGGGTCCGACGCGAACCGTGATGGTTTTTTTATTACTACTATAGACGTACATCATATTATAAGCCGCCGTCGCCGCCGCGTCCTACTTACAAATGTGAAAAATATTATTATATTTTTTTTTCAACGGAGAAACCGTCGGTGAATAATTTTGTATACAAAGTAGGCGATTATTTTTTAACGGCTCCGAAATACGATTTTGGGATTATCGAATGTACTTTAGGGCTGTTGGTTTATTTATTTTTCACAACCCGTGTAAAAGGAAAAAAAAAATTGTAATATATTTTAAAAAAACTATCGCCCGATGCTGACGGGCTTTTGTCGGCGTACCTAATTACCGTACTTTGTGGTGTTATATTGTATTATACTGTCGGGGTTTGGGTCGCCTACACACAATGGGTACGCTTGTCCTTGACAGTCTTAGGGAGACGTCTTTTGGTGTCCCGTCCTGGCCGTACGGTGAATTATGGTTTTATTGTTTTGCGGCTGGCAGAAGGGTTATACGACCACCGCAGCTCATCCAAGCGGTTCTTTTACCTCACCGGCCCATTTGTCGGACGACCTCGACGGCTTACGATTGAACCGCGATATGACCTTGCCCGGGCAAGTGGGTTAAGGGGCTGGATATATATATATATATATATATATATAGCGGGAATCGGGTGCACGGATCTAAGCCACTTGTGTTTATTCGGTACTAATTTGCTTCGTTTTTTTTTTACCAGATAAGAACGTATGCAGAGTAGCGGACGACGACGATGAAGACCGGATCAGCGGCTTCGAACCGGATTTGCGGAATAGATCCGTATCGCCGCCCGTTCGCCGTGTCTGTCCGGCGGCCGTATCGCCCGCGGCAGTCGCAATCATCCCCAGCCCACCATCACCGGACTGGAACCCGCCGCCCAAGCGACGGTTCATATCCACCTCGGACGGCGACAACATACCGTACGGCAGCAAGGACAGCTTACAGATAACCCGGCAGACGGAACCGCCGGCGCCAGTTGCCGTCAAGGTAGAAGAAGACGCGAGCTCGACGCCGAGTCCGGAACCCGCCACTGAGCCCAAGCTCCAACTTCCACCGCCACTACCGACACCCAAATGTCATCCAGTGTCCGTCATCCAACGCACCCCGGCTCCGGCCATGGTCAAGTCCCCTCGGCCCGCCGGACCGGCTGCACAATCTCCTTCACCGTCGCCGACGGTTCAAGAACCGGAACAGGACGCTCCTATCGACTATCACGTGCCCAAAAAAGAGTCAGACTTCGACATGGAAATTGTTAAAGCCATCAAGAACAAGTTTACCATCACTCTCCGAGGCCAACTGGTATCGGCGCCCAACGGTATTATCACCGCGGCGGCCGGACGGGGCCGGAGCAGTGGCGGCCAGCAAGGTGCCGGCGGTGGTAGCGGAGGTGGCGGCGGCGGCTCCAACTCAGGTGCCAACCGAGGGTCGTCGCTGCACTCTTACACGCTCGGTGGAGGAGGCGGTGGTGGTCCGGGTCTTCTCGGTAGTGGAGGCGGTGCGGGCGGTGGAATGGCCCCAGGAGGTGGCGGCATGAACCCTGGCGGCAACGGCAAGCATTTCGGCGGGCCCAACAGTCCCGTATCGCTGCCGCCGTTCCACGAGAGCCTGATCAAGTCCGGTGGAAACTGTTACTCTGCTCAGTACAATAACCAGTATCATCTGATGATGTCTGAACAGCTGTGTTTCAACAACAATGACACGGGACAGACACCAACGACCACAGGCGGTGGCGGCCCGTTTTCCATAGGGCTAGACGGTCCGCCCAAGCAGTACTCGCTGCTTCAGAACGCCTCATCGTTGGGCATCGACATCAAGGAAGACGACTGTGAAGATCTGTCCAGTTACGTCAAGGAACCTAACGGTTTCGACACTCTGATGGCCGACTCTGAGAACGGTACGTCTAACGACCCCCTGCAGTTCACCGCCACTCTGACGTTTGCCGGACCCACCGATCCCGATTTCTTAGAAAGTCTAACCGATGCCGCCGAGCTGTTCTTCAAGGAGGTATGTACTTAATATTTATTTAAAAAAACCATTTGTTACGCGTTCTAACACGATGTTTTTCGTTTTAGCCTCAAGAATGTATACCTCCGACCATGGTCGAACAGCCCATGCACATGTTCAACGAACACCGAAACGGATTTTCCGAATCTCAGTCGGAAAAGCGTAATTACTTGCAACAAAACGGTAGTAGCGCCGTCGGTCAGTCGGTGTGCCGTAACAACTACAACAACTACGAGATGTCAAAAGACCGATTGTCGCACGGCAGCTTCGACGATTCAAACCAACAACTTCAACAGTTACAGATACAAGTGCAACTGCAACAACCCCAAAACGTAGACGTAAGAACGCATTATCATCTTATCAAAAAAAACCTTTATTGGCGAAAATCGATCAAAATATTTTTTAAGACTTGAATTCATCATAAATTTTAAAAAAATCGTTAAATTTAACATAGCTCTAAGTAGTTAAATACTTTAAAGCAAAGACGATGTGAGAAACTAAGTTCCTACCCCGATTTGCGCCAATGACTCGTACGAGTTGGACAAAACATTTAACCGGTTTGTTTTATAGGGTTGCGGCCAGATGATGTTGTCGCCGGGTCTGTCGTCGCTGGAAATGGACTCCAATACCAGCATGTCTGCCCCGTCGCCGGCTAGCGTGAGCATGGACGGCACAGTCTCGCCATCGCAAAACGGCAAGGACAACAGCAACTCCTCGTTAGACGTGAGAGTCCTACAACATAGGGTGAGAAAGACCACCCCACCCGTAGAGAAACCCAAATATTCTTCTTTCGCCAGTAAACTCACGGCAAAAGTACATATTTGTTTTTCCCCGCGTGCCTTGCCCAGTACAGTCTCGCTATAACGATTCGCTTGTTTGTTTTCCACAGCTCGGTCTACCCAACGACTTGCCCTTCGAGTTCGTCAACGGCGGCCACGGCATCAAAAATCCGCTGGCCAATCACGACACCCTGCCTCCCCCGGCTTTGGGCAGATCCCCCGTCACGTCGGCCACCGAACCCGAGAGGATTTTACCCACTTCGGGTACCAATTCGGATTCGTCGGCTTCCCCGTCCACCGAGATCGGCCACAAGTCCGGGTCCAAGTTCTGCTGTAACCTGTGCTCCAAGACTTTCAACCTGCAACGTTTGTTGAACAGACACATGAAATGCCACAGCGACGTCAAGCGATACCTGTGCACGTTCTGCGGCAAAGGTTTCAACGACACGTTCGACCTGAAGCGACATACCCGAACCCACACAGGTAATTAAACGCACAGTTCATCGCCGCGCAAAAGGCACATTCACGTTCAAAAAGCATATCATATAATGTATACCTCTTATGTTATCTTTCAGGCGTTCGACCCTACAAGTGCAATTTGTGCGAGAAGTCGTTCACCCAACGATGCTCGCTTGAGTCTCACTGTTTGAAAGTGCACGGCGTACACCATCAGTACGCGTACAAAGAGAGAAGAACAAAGGTGAGCATCGTTTTGATGATAATAATTGAACATTGGTCGTTTCGTAAAGGGCTTAAGTAAAAAATGTACAAACGGTGTTATTATTGCAACGCTAATAATTCTTTATGATAAATTCGGCTGTTGCAATGTCACTTATTCTGACTGAAGCTCTTTTCGCAATGACAGTTTCATTTAATTGTATCTGGTGTTAAAGATATGGCCTATACTATACCTAGGCCATAAATTTAGACATTGACTGCTTAATAACCCGTCGCCTGTGTTTTTCAGATGTACGTTTGCGAAGAGTGCGGACACACGACCAACGAACCCGAAGTGCATTATATTCACTTGAAAGAGAAACACCCGTACAGCCCGGCGCTGCTCAAGTTCTACGACAAGCGACACTTCAAGTTCACAAACTCGAACTTTGCCAACATGTTGCTCCAAGTACGCACATAAATAACAAAAAACATATTTTGAAGAAAAAAAAAACAAACAAGAAACGGGTTAATTGCAATAGTGTTTTTGCTAGACTGACCAAAATAATAATAGAATGTTAATATAAATATTGTATTCGAAAATCATAATATTACTATATAATAATACTATATTAATTAAATAAAATAACGGGCGGTAATTGAAATATCGTTAAACATATTTCACCCGCAACAACCGAATAGCGCACTGCCGTCAGTGTTAACGTTAGTTAATAACTATTATTATTATTATTATTATTATTATTAGTATTACTATCCTCTTAGCCGGACTCGCGTTACATTTACTTTAACGTTATTTTCTTCAAAACAGTAACGAGCTATACGAATATCTCGGTGTGTTTTGGATTTCAGGAACGCGAGGGGCATAAGTCCAATACTTTAAAACGTTTGTCGCAAGTCTGTTGAATCCGGTGGTGATGACGGTTTGTGGTGGTGGACGATGAATGAGTCAACGATTGATAAGTCTTGTAGGTCGGCGATCAAGTTTTTTTTTTGCTTGTTTTTTGTTTTTTTGATAAAGTCATTGGATGTTGTGTTTGTCTTCTATTGATTATTACATAATACTAATTATATTATATTTACAATATGTTGGTATTGTGCGTTAGGATTAGGTTAGTTGTATTTTTTTGTTGTAAATAAACTAAAGAGATAATGAACCGTCGACTCGTGTATGGTGTTCAGTCTATACCTACTATAAGCGCTTAAAAATTATACTGTTAAGCATTTAAACATTTTCCGATAATATATTTTGTACATATTATACCTATTATTTATGTATACAATTATTGATCTTTTATATTTTTATTATACATTTTTACAAATCGGACAAGTTTTTTTTCTTTTAAACGTAATTTTAACGATAACATTGGACATAAAACATTATTTATTGAAGTTCTAGAACATATTATTGTTGTACATTAAATATGAAAAGTAAAAATCCTTTTCATTTTAATTATTGCGATTCTCATTTTTTTTCTTGCCAACAGGGCAAATAGACATAATTGATTACACGCACACACATACTATATAATAATATATCATAATTGTAGATGTGTGTTTATGTGATTTCACTCATACCAAAGTCTTCTGTGCGTTGTCTTGTGGTATATGGGTTTTCTTTAAGAAATTAATATTGATGGTATGATAATATTAAAAAAAATAAAAACTGTAATAAAAATAAATAAATACCTAGTTAATATTTAAACAAACGATTAACGAACCACTTTCGGGTTGGGTATAGTGGTATCCTAAATTATGATATGAACAGGTAGTTATAATATTTAATAAAGTATATATATTTATATGTGTAACCTATATGAAACCGGGTTAAAAGTATTTAATTTATTTATGAGTAACAATGATTATTGTAGCAGTTTAATTTAATTTTAATGTAATTACGAATTAGAGAAGGGAAAGGAGTTTTTTTTTTTGTTAGTTCAAATAATATATTATACATATATAAATTATGATTTTTAGATTATATTTTTTAGATCGTAATGTGAATATAAACCTGTGATACGTTTTCAATTTTTATTCTTATAAGCACATCCTAACTTGTATTATTATTATTAATATTATTTTGTGTCTTGATATTAAGTAAAATGATATTATTTAGTTTGTAGGTAATTTTTACATTTTTATGTTGTATTATTTAAGCATTCTTTATATAATAAAACAATTTTTATAAAAAAAAAAATGATATTTTGTTTTTCAATAGATTATCTGAAATTACAGTATTTGACAACCTGCAGGTACGACGAGACATGCTAAATCATATAAGCAAGACTATTAACAGATGTCTGATAGTCATTATTTAAATGTCTCGTTTTATTTTAGATTCAGAATACTCGTTACCTTTGTAATGTTGTACCATTAGGATTGCTATAGGTACGTCCTCTACCATTTAATTTGGTTATAAATGATATGCCGTCTATCTTTGATAAGTCCATAAAGATATTAATTTAAAATTTTGCCGATAGGTACTAAATACATTTTTATTATAAGATCTTATAAAAGTTTCCTTAACCTTTAAAACAATTTAAATAAACTTAGTAATTGGTGTAACCAACATTTTTTACCAACAAATATAAATAGATGTAGGTATCTACCTAACAGCCAACAGGTACCTAATAAGGCTGATGTCATTTCATTCTCTAAAGTTCAGTCTAAATACGCTTAATTATGAATTTCAAAATATAATTTATAACCAAGTCGATTTAATAAGAGACTTAGTTAATTAAATAACGATTTGGCTTTTCAACAAATATTAATATTGTAACCAATTGTCCAAATACATACCGATAACACCTTTTTATTTTTTATATGCTATAAAAAATAGCATAAGCGAGTATTTTTATAGTAAATTAACCTCATCAACTTCAACATTTGAGTCGTTCATTGTAAAAGTGAATTAACTCCTTTTTACCTAGTTAAATAAACCTAGTTTTTGTTTAATAATAACCAGCGTTAGGTTTCATAGGCACAAGATATAGGTAAGTATACAATGTTCAATAAATAACTCGACAATCTAGAAACAATTTAGTCTTATTTTAATTAAAACACAAATAAAAACATCTAACATGATAATTATAGATGCGCATAAATAATGAATTATACGGTATGGTAACTTTTTTTCATTTTATAATAACAGTATAACAATTAACATAATATCAAAAACTTTAAAAGATAAAAATAACACAATAATTTATTAAACAAAAACAATACTTAACGATTAAAATGTTTACTAAGTGTCCAATCACGTGCAAAAACAAATATAGTGATAATTTATCAAATAAACATAGCCATGTTCGTGTGATTATAACAACAATGAAAGTTTTAGACATAAGTTAGGTGCCAACTTACCTAAAACTTAATATAAATATAATTTAACTAACCGTTAATTTATCACAAAATCTACAAGTAAACTCGTAAAGTAAACGCCCTTTATTAATTTTATAGTCAATATATAACATTAAGGCAACATTGTTCAGTCTCTTAGTTTAAGTTATTTGGTATACAATAAGTTTTAATGTTATTTGAAAAGTATTAACTTTTTTTGTTCATAAAGGCTCTAAATACAAAAGAAAATTAACTATAATTATTTTACGATATTATGCATTTTATGGGCAACTTTAAATATTAAAATAAAATGTTCACAAATAATGTAGGATAGAAAATATTGAAATTCATACTTATTTAATTATTTTTGAAATTATGCTTTTAGATTTTTCGCACATTTTGTTCAGGACCTAGGTACTCTATATTATTCTAGAATATTTAGAGGATGTCCGAGCTATGTCATATTTGTACCAACAAATAAGCTATACAAAATTAAAATTAAAAAGTACACGAAAGATAAAGATTTGCATATGGCGTAGGTAGTTTAGTCGTTAGAAGTGGGTAAATGTGATTTATGGATGTGTTTGTGTGAAGTGAATAATGCAAACGATGGGGACTTGGCTGCTAGTCGTCCTCTTTTGTATGGGATAAGGCGAAGAAGATATTGTAATAAGTTAGGAAAATATAAAATTAATAGAAAATGGAATTAATAGAAAAACCAATATGAAACGGTTTGGATAGACATCTATAAAGAAGAGAAACGATATGAATGATAAAAAAATGATGAATGTTTAAAAGCACAGAAAAATAAGTAGGTAAAGATATTAAATAATATTAATGATATAGACTTTACACTTGATGAATGCAATGCACAATTGTTTTTTAACAGACTATGTGAGTATAGTATAATGATTAAGACTAAAAAACGTCTGCAAGATATTATCCCTAATTAGAGAGGGGCAATCATTGAAATTTTGCATTGCCATAGGTAACTTACCAAATGAGTAGTAATGAGTTGTAATGATATATATATATTATTTAGTTATTAATTAATGCCGTCGTCGATCGTGATATTTGACGCAATTCAGATGTGGTATAACTTACTTGTAAACACAATAGTAAAGATTTATCAAATAAATACATTTCGATTGTTAACAAAATGTTAATCTCCAAGAAAACTATTTGTGACGAGAGTTTAATTAAGAGGACGCCACACTCACAGATTTGTCATTGTAAAACCAAAAGTTAGTATTTGTTGTATCTATATAACGATGTTCATAATTATTATAATATAAAAAATATAATGACACTAATATAAAAATAAACTCTTTTTACATCTTTATTTTATGATTATTTTTCGGGTTGGCAGTATGTTTTAAAAAATAAACATATGGGCGTCCTCTTAGTATTATTTAAAAAATTTAATTTTTAAATTACAAAAATAAACCTTTTGAGTGTTATTTGAGTATCAAATTATAGTTTGTCTATAAGTAAATGTATTTGTTCATCAGTACTAGCCAGTTTAAGGATTTTTTTTGTTGAAAATTTGTTAATTACTCGACCTTTTAGTTTTTAAAATAAGTATTTGATCAATAATGCAATACAAAGAAAGAAAACTGTAAATTATATTTTGTAATTAAATAATTGTTATTGGTAACTTGGAGTTAATTAAAATGTGTTTAGCGATTTGCCAACCCTAGGTTAGAGCAGTCATAATGAAAACTTACTATGATATTATTTTTTTGAATAGATTAACTGGATAGTATGCATCACTTAAAATTAAAACTATATTATTATACTTACTCAACAATAGACTTGGCCTGACTACTTACTTGAGGTAGTGTCTGTTTAGTGTACTCATAGAATAAGTCGAGCAGCCAAAAAGTTCAGAAAATTACCTGTCATCCACATTTGTTTTGTCTGCCATTGACACAAGTTACTTGCTTATATTAATAATTTATTTTAATGTACGTTTAAATTAGATATTTGGTTTCTCATAAGTTACTTTAAAAAATATATATTTATTATTATTAATTATCGGAACAGTCAAATGTAAACTTACTCTATACACCTAGGAGGTGCTCAAAAAAATAAATGTAAATAATTTAGATGTTAATGTGTAATTGTATATAAAAACATTAATATCATTAGAAGAAAAATGCCTAATGAAAAAAATGAAAAGAACTATAAAGTTAATGTAAGAACTAAAAATATCTTGTAACATTAATGTATTCAATAAAAACACTTAATAAAAAAGAATTTAAATTAAATATAGGTATATATATATGAAATATATTTTTATAAATTTAAAAAAACATCTTGTTGAGTTGATTGAACTGAATTTCAGTGTACGAGTTCATTGTTGAACAACTCGTAGACTATACGGTGTCTCAAAACTAGAGTATCATCTTGTGTGTAATCCAGAGGGGCGTTTCTGGCGATGTGTTCGGCATTCACGCAAACGAACACGCCACAGTCATAGTTGTTTGTTTGGGCAGGAGATTGAACTGCTTGCAAAGTCCATTGCACGCAGTCGAACGGGATGTTTTTTTTGTCAGTGTGCTCGACTTCAAGATAAGAGTAAATATCAAGAACGCACTGGGTGTCGCTTGATAATCCCAAGCTATCGTACAAACTGACCGTTTTAGCTTCAAAGTCAATGCACACCAGCCTCCAATGGTTGTCGTTATGTATAGGCACTATCGCCTTCTCCATGCTGAATATGTCCACGTTACGCGTCCATCGAAGCACCCTTCTCAATCCTCCTTTCGCTATCATTGTGCTATAGAAAAAAGTATCGAAAGAATATACTCTGCCGCCGGATCGGGTCTGCACCAAACGCAGATAATGATTGATGGCCTCGTCATTAAACCATACTTTAGGCGAGAACACTGTCAACACGTCTCTCACTTTCAGAGTGCTCTTGGTACCAAAATGCACATTGTCATTCGGATTCATTTGTTTGAATAGATCTTGCATGGAATTCACTAGTTCCAGACAATAGCCCGGAAACAATTTTTCGAAATCAATTTGTACCTCCGTAGGCTCGAGGCTAAAATCGCTAGCATAATCGTCGTCACCATTTTCGTAGTAACCATTGACGTCATCACCATTGTCGCCATTACCATTGTCATCATCACCATTGTCGCCATCACCATTGTCGTCATCACCATTGTAGTCGTAATCTTCATCAAGATTGCTTACCACAATAACATTGTTGGGCGAGCACGGTGGTGAAATACAATTAGAAGAAAGTGAAATAGGAATCGAAGGAGTAAGAGAAGGATTTGTTAAATGAGTAGGAGAGGGTGATGGGTTTGTTAAATGAGTAGGAGAGGAATGACATAAACTTGATGGAGAAGGATAAGAATACTGAGAGAGTGAAGTAGAAGGATATGGAGTCAATGGTCGTGCATCATTTTCGGTTATCACCTTATCCCATTCGTTAGGTGATATCATTAGTATATCGTCGACTGTCACGTTACTGCCATTGGAACGCCGATGTCCACTATCACTATTACTTTTGCGATAGGCGTCTAGATCATAGTCTTCAAAATAATTGTTTAAAGTTCTACTGTCCGATGCAAAACATTCACTGCTGCTGTTGGATTCGTCAGAATTGTCGTTGACTCCATTCTCTTGCCTCCTGCCTCCGGTAGTGGTATTCTTTTTTGATGACCAAAACCTATCATTTAATGGCCATCTGAAGTTTAACGATTCCTGTACAGACGAAGCATACTCAACATTGCATGGAGACAGTCCCGTTGCTGGCCTAGTCGACGGCGATTCAGCATACAACTTCAATATTTTAAGAATTGACTTGTCAAACTTGCCTGATTTGGTCTGAGCATTTTCATCTCCATCGTCCTCACTATATTCCGTGTCAGAATCCCACGACAAACGTTCGTCCCCAATCTCGGCTAGATTTATAGCGACAGTTTGGCGCTTATTTAAAATATTGATAAGATTAGACTCCATGCTTTCGATCATACTATTTAGGCTAGTGGTTTGTTGTTGCTCCTTTTGTTCGCTCATGTTGTTTAGATCACCTATCGGTTGCTCTTTGTGCTCAATAACAGTGTTCAGGTCGGCTGTTAGTTCCTCTAAGTCATCGTCCGAGTACCAATTCCAATCGCCAGACAAATCGAACGGCTGCACAGTGTTGTCAATCGTTGGAATGACAATGCCTTCCAGTTGTTGTGATGAAGACGACAAATTAGAAGCATTGTCTTCTGAGTCACTGATCGATATGATGTCTACAGGTTCTGTCTTAACTCTTCTAGTGGTGCGACTTCTCTTCAATACATTGGAACTAAGTCGAGCGCTAGATTTTTCAGTTTTTTGTTTGCCCCTAATTTTTGAAACGGGTTTTTTTGTTTTCATGTTTGTTTGTTAAAAGAAGAGACACTGACGATCTAGAAAAAAATAAAAAACATAAATTCACAATAATTCATGGTACCCAACATTTGAAATTTGAAACATGTGAACTCATTTTTAATATAGAACATGTTTTAGGGGGTTTGACATTTTTGAGTGTCTTGACACTAATATACCATGTTTACATAAAAATTGTAACTCAATTAATAAATTACTATCGTATAATAATATAACACAAATAAAAAGAAGAGAAAATTGATAACACTACAAATGTAGACATTATAAACAATTTTAAAATATTTGAAGTGTGTTTATTAAGGCAATCCGTTAGCATAGTACTAGAAATTTAGGATCTACTGTACAAAAAAATGTAGTGTTAAAAGATATAGTGAGTAGAAAAAAGTATGGTTGTAACAAATCGAAATAGGCAACAGTTGAATTGTATGACTAAGTGTATAGTGTAAACAAAGGTAGCGAGGATGTAATTAAAATGAGAATGTTGAGATGAAGGTGGAGAGGAATTATAACAAATATATTTTAAAATGTGTAATTAGAACTCAAACTTGGAAGTAGTTTATGGTGTTGCACATCTAACAAGAAAAATTTACCTTTATGATGTATTAAACCTACTATATTATACTATAAAAAGTATAAAAATCAGTTACAACTCTAGTTGAAAACACTTTGAATTAAGATGTGAATAAATTTTAAAAAAAATAGTTATTTAATTTAATTCAATTTAATGTTTTTTTCCCTATTAAAACAAAAAAAAAAATAACTTTTGTACATCAAAAACACTGTATCGTTGATCTATATATTTTATTTTATAATATTATTATTTATTGTTACCTGCTCTTTTATCAAAACCAGTCCAACACTACCAAGGATAACAAAGTGTATTATATATTAATTTAAACTGCTTAGTACTAAATGGATAAATGTTACATAGACAGTTTTAACAATTAGTACATAATAAAAACTAAAATGTGTTGTATTATCTTTCATAAAAAAATTTGTAAATACTCACATTTTATATTACAGATAGCTGTTGAATCTGTAATTCTGAATCATCTCAATTGCACCTAAAAAGGAAAATACAAAACAAATATTAATTATTACGCAGTTCTAGAGCAAAGTAATTTGTGTAAAAATAATATTCAAATTTGGAGTGTTATTTTAAAGTCAAATGACTTTTCCCAACTAGGTTCATTTGACTAAAGTCAAATGAACCTAGTTGGGAAAATATTAGTTAACGTACAAATGTCGTTGTATCTAACAACCGAGTTCAACAAAATTGTATAATCTATTTTTCTACACCCAGCAATCAAGGACTTATCAAGGTTAATGTTTTATTTAAAAAGTTAATGTTTTAGGTTTTCGGATAAAAAAACACAATAACGTTGGCACAGGTCAACAGTCGACATTTGAGATTGTATACGCCCATAAGCAATAACCTTAGGCAAAATATTAATCCCGTCCAAGGTCCGTATTGCACTCGTTGTCGTTGATTTGATAATAATTATGCGATTATGTAAATGAGACAGTCGTCGTCCGGTTAGTGAGATGTTCGATACTTAGGGCGTCATAAATAACAAAACAAAAAAAACAACAAACGAAAATTCATTTTCAAAATTAACCCGAAAAACTTACAACAACTCTTCGGGACGCCATCACACGTGTGACGAGTCACCCGAATGGTAACAACAATATTAGATACCTAAGCATTAAGTGAAAACTGGATATCGGCTAACGACACTTTCTCGTGTCTGGTCTCGTGCAATTGCGCCCTTACCGTTTCGGATGATTTTCCAACGGCGTCTGCCAGGGCCACAGCCGATTTCGTCGAAGCAACAAAAATCCGTTGTCACAGTACACGTGCGACAGACGCGTCCGCTGTCCACAAACAAACACTAAGCGTACGGTCAACCAGGTGCATCGGGACAAAAACGAAACGTCAGTACGGCCGATCGTCGTTGCAGCAATTCGCGGACGGTCGACCCACAGACACGGCAGCTGACGACGGTGAGCGGAGCACACAAAATACCGTTATCAGAGTTTTGTTGTTATCGGTAACCGTGCTGCTGATAACGGAACGACGGCCGCGCGCACGCTCACCCGGTCGCGTCGACCACAGAGCCGAACGGATTGTTGGCCGAAAGCCGAAAGCCAATCGGCAAGTTGACGCCTGGCCGACAGTCTTACAAGCGTTGCGCACGGAACTACAGGTCGTTTACGCGAGACGACCGCGGACGGCAATCGCGGTCAAACACTAATTTACCCGTGTAATTAATGTTTAACAACGAAAACGACATTTCGACGCCCGTCGATTATTAACTTATTCTTTAACCACTGAACAAATACAACATTTTCGAGTAAAGAAAAAAAAATAATAAATTTTTACCAACGCTGTTCGAATTATACCGGAAAACCGTCTCGCACATGGCCATACTGACTTGAGTGTGATGATGATAAAACTGAGGTTTCTGCAACTATTATATTAACTCGTTGCCCAACGCCGAAAGTGCAACACCAACAGCAATAACAACATATAAGTGCGAAAGTTTTTGTTTTTGTTATCCACACCGAGATCACAAACACACACACACACTGACACCTAACTACCGTTTCGTCGATACACTTCGAGATCTGATGTTTAACAATAAAGATAATGCAAAATAATAATAATAAATAAACGTACTACTGTACAACAACATAAATCATCCGATACGTCGTTATTATCATCACACGGTCGATGTCACCTTTGGCGATAATTGGCGGGAGCTAATTTTTTTCCCTCGTTTGTGTATGTTAATTTTTTTTTTTACATTTTGAATTTTAATCCGTTCGAAATATTATATTCTTGAACTTGACGTCTCGTTTAAAGTATGGCAACGGTCATGTCGGAGACTAACGGTTGGTCATTGGGACCATTGGGCGATAGCGTTGCTCCCACAAAACCGTAACCATAGTCCGTAGAAAGTCAACTGTGGACGTTTTATGGAATTTAAGTTTGTTGTTCGATTATGATATGTGAACACCATGGCTCATGCAGCACTACATCCGTCAGACGGAGCAAGTAATCACACTTTGGTCAACCGTTTGGTGCGTGTTGGTTACTATGAGCTAGAAAAGACCATCGGTAAAGGAAATTTTGCCGTTGTCAAGTTGGCCAAACATGTCGTCACTAATTCTAAGGTAAAAGCCATTTTTATACTACTGCTGCGCAATCCTTGTTAGAACCAATCCGTACATTTTACAGTGTCTGACAAACAAAATTTTTATCAATAGATTTGATAGGTTTTTATGCTTTTTTCAACATAATTATGTGTGATAATTCTGTAAGAGATGATTCTTAAAATAAGCTTAGATTTATTTGCAATATTCCATAAAAAAATTACTACCAATAGCACGTTATTCGAATTGAACCTCCAATTGTTTAATCAAATGTCTTAACATATTTATGCTGTGCAGTGTTTAACTCTTCGTAATTGAGTTGTCATTATTAATTTTAAATTACCAAAAACAGATATTTCACTGAGTGTTATATATTTTATTGTATCAAATTAATCTTCTATAATATCAAGAAGATAAAAAGAACACCTGTTGTTATTTTAAGCAATCTTATCAGTTATAACTTACGTTAAATATTTACTTTTGAAGAAAAAAAATTGAGATTAAGCATAAAAATCTCTAACATTCGAGAACAAAACATTTGTACATTTTTTAGTTGTAAAATTATATCTTTTTTCAAAGATTAGCTGCTGAATTTAATAAAATATTGCCGCTAGGTATAATATGTGCTTGAAAACATTGTAAAATACATTGTAACATTGGAGCAGAGTTACTAATAAGTATTATCTTATGTCACAACACTTAAATACAACTTAGGATATTGACCTTTTAATGCTAAAAATAATCTAGTAAATAAACTAAAATTATAAATACTTAAGATAACATAATTCATTACTTATAATAGGAAAGTAAATACTATTTTTACAGAATATAATAATTTAATTTTGTACATAAAAATATAATAATAATATGATTACTTAAAATAAACTTAATATTTTATTCTAAACAAAATTGATAATAATTTTTAAAAAAAATACTCTCTTGAATTTTTTTTTATTATTGAGTTAAGCTTTAACAACAAGGTGACTATTTCATATTATGTTATATTTGTGTGTACATTTTGATACACTTAAAAACCATATTTTTATTTTGCATTGTATTTGTTGTCTATTTCATTCAATATGCCTGTTATGCCATGTTATGTACTGACCAGTACACATTCTCTTTAATTGTTAAGCTTATTTTTTCGTCAATCAAGTATTTAAATTAAAAAATTATTAATTAATTAATTTCTTTCCTTTAAAATATTACAACGTTGTGTATATTGGTTAACTAACATTTTAATAATCTAAAAAATATGTTAATTTTTTACATTAAAAAATTATAATGTAACACTGTAAAATATGTGCATTTAAATATACCAACTGATTTAATTAAAACGAAATAAGAATGACTATCATTACCTTATTCTGGTTTTAACCAAGTTACATAATAATTATTGTATTATATTGTATACAAAAAATACAAAAAAATTGTCACCAATTGCAACATTTCTAATTTTTTTCAAATTTAAATGATAAAATGTTTACCTACTAAATATTGTATTACTTAAAACTTTACATCTATCATCATAGATATATTTTTTAATATTTATGAAAGTGAAAAAAAATTGCGATTTCCCTAATTTACTATGTTAAACTTATTTTAAATTTTTAAAATAAATTTGTGTACATCAATTATTTTATAAAAACAAAGTAGATTGTAAAATGTTTGACCTATGGCCTTCATTTTTTCTCTATGATAAAAATACAAGTAGCAACATTATAATTTATATCTTTTAACTGTACCTGTACTTGTAATACAAAATTATTTCCCAATTATGAGACAGCCAATATTTCTAATAATTTATTACACTGTTATTTTAGTCGAATTTTTGATGTAGTGACCACAGATTTTTATTAATGTTTGTTGACACAGCCTCCTTCGAAGTATGGCGATGGTGACAAAACATACTATTTTGTGTGACAGTGCTCTTTCGTTGTACGGTCCTAGTATCGTAACAGTAACGTTAAGTACATTAAATTGATTCTTTTTTTAATTCTTTTATTAGTCGTTCATCAGAATAATGCATATATTTTTAATGTGTAAAGTTTTAAAGTATTCATAATAACATATTCACCTAATAAGTTGACCTTGTAATGAAAATAACACTACAAATTAAATTTTTTTTTAATGGATAGTGGTTATTTAAAATAATAGAATAGTCAGGTCATAAAAGATAATCCTGTATTGATCATAATAAATGAAGTGCTAAATTTTAAAAACTTTATCTGGTCACCAAATTATAGTACTATTATCTAGTTTTTTATGTGAAATTAATGTCTACTCTGCATTATCAAAAATGTTCTACTAAAAATAACAATAGGTTAATATCCAGGTTTGATTAATTAGGTTTTGCGTTAAAAACATTTATTTGACCTTAAATAGCGCAATCATTTGCCCTTTGATTTTTAATAACTACGAGTTTTTATCAGGAATAAAAACAATTTTAAATAATAATAACTAATAACAAAACTCTTACAGACCCTTTTTACAAATAATTTACAATTTTGTTAGAATTTATGGAGTGTAGTGTTTACTACTAAATTTATGAAGTATACATACTAGATAATAAATAATAGATTTATAAAATTATCTCTATTGCTAATCTATCAAAAAAAAAAAAAAATAGTTTCTAATCCAAAATTAAGATTGTCTATTTAAAAACATTTTCGTTTTAATAAAATTGGAAGTTGAGTTATGACCAATGTAAACTTAATACTTTATAAATTATAATTAATAACTTTTTTAATCCCTGTTTTTGTTTTTACTTATTTACTAAACAGGACGTTTTTCATCCATTTCTTAGAGTATTAGGAGTAAAGTATAGGCTATTTAAAAAAAAAAATTAATTTAAAACAAACCATAGTAAAGTACTTGATACAGTAATGAGAATTCTTTATTAGTTTTTTTTTTTTTAGACTCACAGTCGTTTCTATTAACGAAATTACAATTTTATGCTATTATAATAGATTTCCATGAATCAAAACCAAAATATCTTGTAATTGTTGTAAAACCATAACATTTTCACAGTAGCTAAAGAATACTGTTTTTTTAATTTTTTGGTTACTCAATCCACTAATTTTTAATATTTTTTTGAAAAACACTAAAAAACCTAAACTTGAATAATTCATAAAAAAAAAATTCAATCTGACATAAAAAATTGCTTTTGCACAGATAATGTTCTCCTTTATTTTATTTTTTTATGAAAATTAGGTGATTGTAGGATTATCACAGCCTTTATATTATTAGTTAGTGAAAACCCTATTTTACACTACAACTTATGGACATGTAGCGTCCTCTTAAGTGATTACATTACATAACATAAAATGTAAAATCATAAAGATTTACAGAAAACTAAGTTTTGACACCTTTCATAATTTGTTTGTTACATAATTTTTTTTTATAACTTTAGGTACTTATAATATATCTACTCTCAAATATTATGACTATTATTTTTAATTTTAAATTAAATTTCATATACAAAAGGTATATATTTATTAATAACTTAGGCCGTTAAGCAATTTGTTATGTATAACAATATTTATTTAACATTTTTCTATGTCGTGTGAGATAATAAAACAATGTCATATTATTGTATTTAAATGCATGTGCAAACTATTTTAATCAAGTATTTGACCATAATAAACTAAGATCGATTAACTTTATTATTTGTTTAGTATGTTTTCTTAATGTCGACACTTTTTTAATTATCTACTAAATAATCATATTTAGTGAAACATGTGCTGCATTTTTAAATATTACAATATAATCAGAGGCAAAACAAAAATATTACATTTTTTATTATTATTTAAAATTATCCTTTGCATTTTGCCTTTCATTTTCATTTGTAATTTCTTGCATACATTTTAAAAGAAATATTGCTTTTTATAATATGATAACATGGTATAGTGTAAAACATTCTCACCAACTCATATCAACAATTAATATATCAATAACCTTATGATTAAGTTGTGTTTTCAATCAAATATTTGATAATATTTTAACAATGTAAAAAATACTTTTGGTTTATCTGTAATTAATTTATTAAAAATGTATAGTTATTTATACTTTAATTAATTCAAATAAATCTTCTTTTTAGTTAGTAAGCTATTCTTTTACATGCTGAGGTAGACCCTTTGCCTGGGTATTATTTAAATATTTCGGTACCAATTTAATTTTGTCCTGTTCGCCAAGTCATGGATTTTTTGTTGTGTATAGAAGCTGCTTATATAAATATGGCTGGCCTAGAGAAAGCTCTAGAATATTCCATGAAATCCTACACCACCTACACCCATCCCAACCAAATTCTCTTATTATCAATAGGGCACGTTAGACAACATGAATACACGACCACAGTAGATGATAGTGGGCGGTTGTGGAAAAATCTACAAGCTTTTTTTAGTAATATATATTGATTAAATTAGAATTTGGATACTTGGGAAAAATTGAGCTTTATAAATTGTGCTCATACGTCTTGCATAAAATGTAGCCAAGTTTTTATTTTTATTTTTGAAAGTTTGTCATATTCCATCTACCCCGAGTGTTAGTATGTAGTTACACCAAAAAGAAAAAAACCAAATGAAAATTACTCTATTTTTTAGTGATATAATGTAGATGACTAATACCTAAAGTTTAAGGTACTTTTGATTGACATTTTTTGTCTAAAAATGTTTGTTGGCATCATACAAAAAAATAATTAAATTAACACGAAAACCCAAAGATTTTTTGTTTGCTACTTTGTAGAGCTTTTTATGTTTAGCAAACTATTATTTTTAAAACTATATAAATAAAACTAATGGTTTGATATATTATATTATAATATAATTTATATTTAATAGTTTGGAACTGTTTTTGTTTAAGGTCGCTATTAAAATCATTGACAAATCCCAGTTAAATGAAGATAATTTGAAAAAAATATTTAGAGAAATCCAAATCATGTCTCAACTCAGTCATCCTCATATAGTTAGATTATACCAGGTATTTAAAAAAATATTTTTAAATATGTATTGACTTCAATGTAAAGCTGAGTTTTTTTTATATATTACTATGATAAACCAAATTCATTTACAGGTGATGGAAACCGAGAAAATGATTTACTTAGTAACAGAATATGCAGCTGGAGGAGAAATTTTTGGTAATTGAAATAATTATTTTTTATACTCAGTTAACTGCTTGTTTTTACATAATAAAACAAAAATACCTATATGTTTTTATAACAATTTTTAAACTATTTTAAATTTACAAATAATATAAACAAATTATTTAAAAAGAAATTATATGGATTTATAACGTTTTTATTTTTGTGAATTTCATGATAATTTAAGTGATAATAAAAAAGAATTTGTTTGTAAAAATATTATTTTGGTATTGATGATGTTTGTTATTTTAAAAATCTGACCCTATTATTAATGCTTTTACATTTCTGCTTATTATTCGCCCTTATAATTATAGATATTAAACAAGTTTTTGTTAATTAGATACAGGTTAATAAATAGTAATAGCATACACCATGAACAACTACATCGTTTCTCTATTAATATTAAGAATTAGTTTTATTTCTTTTTTAGAACTTAATTTTTAAATGTTTAGTTAGACCTTAGTTGTTCATAAGTTAATCAAATACATTAATATAAAACCATTATTATAATTATATTAATGCATTAATATATTTCAGACTATTTGGTAAAAAATGGGAGAATGAATGAACCAGCTGCTTGTCATATATTTAAACAAATTGTGGAAGCTGTTGCTTATTGTCATAATAAAAATATAGTTCATAGAGATTTAAAAGCTGAAAACCTACTTTTAGACATTGATAATAATATTAAACTTGCAGGTAATGTATATATTATTTTTAGTTAACCTAATTAAAAATTTGGGGTGTATATAGGTTATATTGATAGTACAATTTTTAAAAAATTAAAATAGATCAAAATAGTAAAAAAGAGAAGCTGGCGGGGAAAAAGTGGGCATTTTGTACCAAAAAAATAGATAAAATGTAAAGGAGAAAATCGACAAGAATTTTTTTTAAATATATCGCATAAGATAGTGCTAATTTTGTTTATTGTTTTATAGTTTCTTTGGCCAGATGTTTATACTTAACATTTTATATAGAACAAATCTAAAATGTAGAAGATATTGTAAAGTGTATAAAGAATAATAATTTTATGTTCTTATCAATTCATATCATTTTTTTTTATATAGATTTTGGATTTAGTAACCATTTTTTCGAAGGTAAGTTACTTTCTACCTGGTGTGGTTCACCTCCTTATGCAGCACCTGAGTTATTTCAAGGTCAAGAATATGATGGGCCAAAAGCAGACATCTGGGTATTTGTTATTATTTACTTTTATAAATGATTGTTCTTTATTATTTACAAAGTATAGATTTAAGTTAATACATTTTAAATTTTTTACAGAGCTTAGGTGTTGTGCTATATGTACTGGTTTGTGGTTCTCTCCCATTTGATGGAAATACTCTAAAAGTACTTCGAGCAAATGTTCTTTCTGGAATGTTTCGTGTGCCATATTTTATGTCAGCAAGTAAATAAAACTTTTCTTTTTAAGTTTACTAAACCAACTAATTTATATAAAAAAAATTCAGCTTTTTTAATATTATTAAAAGACAATTTACTTAAATTTCTACCTTTTCTAGCGTGTGAACATTTAATTCGTCATATGTTAGTTATTGAACCTGAAAAGAGGTTAAGTCTGAACCAAATTGTGTCTCATAAGTGGATGAAACAGGTGATTATCAACATTATTATTTCTACACATTTTCATTGTCCTATTGAATTTATTTTATGCTATAAATTTAGCTTACCGAACCGACAACTGAACGATTACAAGTAGATGTAAGTCCAATGATGAATACTGCCATTATTGAATTGATGCTACAGTTACCCGGCTTAGATAAAGATATGATAGTCAATGTGAGTACCCAAAATTTCATTTTTTTTTTTCATATTTCAATCTTTTTTTATTTTTTATAATATATAAATTATTTTAAAAGATATCAACTACATTTGCATTCGATTATGATGCATTTTATACTTACTTTATATTTTGGCATGTCAGGTATACCCATAATATTGTTATATTGTCGCTGATACTGAAACAGCAAGTATCTCAATTCTAAGTATTTTCAGGAGAAGCAAAATAAGTTATTTAAATAAATAGGTTTTGATATAAGCTGTGTTATCATTTTTATGATTTACAGTGCAACTATAATAGTCTGATAAAAAAACATCATTAACAAAATATTTTCGGCGGCACGTGATTTATCAATATTGGTAACAATCTCATTTGGCCAAATTTTGAGATACGCGCTGTTGCAGTATAAGCAACGATATGTTTTAAATTATAATCATTCTGTTACTAAAATTATAAATTCCAATCTCACGCTTATAATTTAACCCTTTGGTTCCTGGCATCCTTGTACGAATATTTAACTTTAAAAAATCGAATAAAATATTAACAACGTACTATCATTATCAAAATTTTTTTTAAACACAAGTTCTTGTATAGACTGATGATAAAAAAATCAACACAGCTATGTTAATAATCAATATCAATCCGATAATATGGTTTGTTTAGCATCAGAGGTTTTCCTTATTTTCACTAATTTACAAAGTCTGTTTTCGACATTTTTTTAATTTAGTTATATATTTTTTTATAACCAGTAAAATAATTTTTTTTGTAATTTATGTAACTTTAGGTAAAATATGAGTAATTATTTCTATGATATATTTATATTGACTTTGTTACTGCCTGACATACTTGTAGAAGGATTTTAAATATTGTAGTGTGTAACTAAGCCAAAATTCTAAATTTACTTCTGAAACTTCGTAAATTTATTTTTTAGTCCTATACAGATACGTAAAAAAATGTTTGAATTTTTTTTCGAAAAGGGTTAAAAAAATCCTTTTAAACTTATATTCTCTTTAGGAAAATAAAACTCAAATGTCCTAATTGTTAGTTCATTCACATTTAACTCTTGTATTTTATTTGCTGAGTATATTTAGACTTAACTACAATATCATAACAAAAAAGTGTATAGACGTTTGCATAAATTGTAACCATAATATTCATTATTTTCAGTCTGTGCAGCAAAAAAAATTTGACCATGTTAGTGCAATTTATCATTTACTTGTTGATAAACTGGGTTCAACATTCACAAATCAATGTAGTAGTAATAATCAATTATTTGCTAATGTAACAGGTAAATATTACTTTTTGTGTAAACAAGTTTGATGTACATACATTTTTAAATATACCTATTATAACAGAAGAAAGTGATGCTTCTGTTAATATAAACTCAAATGTAATCGAAAACTTACCATTATATTCGATGTCGCTCTATGCACAAGATGGATCAATTAATGACAGCGAACAATTAGAAAAGGTGTGTCATTATAATACATAATATATATATTATTATTACTAACTAAATAATTAATAAATATATTTACTCGTTTCATAAGTATCCATGCTATTCTCTAACAAATTTGATCCTTAATTATAAAATAATTTGACTTTATATTAGTATGGAGACGTAGACATCAGCGATACGACTAGTTCAAGTATAACTCAGGATAATTCTAACCACCCGATGACTACTCGTCGCCACACTGTTGGTCCAGGAAATGGTTTAATAACACAGGTGAAATTTACTTAAAATTGAATAGTAAATTATAAATTCATCAAAAATGTATGGTTATTAAAAGTTGCAATCATCTGTTCATTTTATAGATAATGGAATCAAATTACATAACAAACCTTCAGACTGGATGCAATGTTAATGTGTTACCAAACACCAATTTACCAATGAATATTCCATTAGTTGAATTCCAGTCTCCTAAAAACTTTACAATTAAAGATCAACATTTATTAAAACCTCCACCAGTTATGGGAGCAAGTAAGCATATTACTTAATACAATTTTTTTTATAAATCAAGCATGTAAATTATACTCTTAAATTTTTCTTAGACAACAACTTTGGCAGACGAGCATCTGATGGCGGTGCAAATTTACAAATGGCTCAAAATATTAATTGTACTTTCAGTGAACCGAATAGTAAAGAAGATTTGAAAAAAGCAAGTATTCTTTATTTGTTATTAAAAAACAAGAAAAAAGATTCTAATAAATTAAAATTATCAGCAGGGAAAAATTGATGCAAATGATATTAGAAACGCAATGATGGATCAGTCAAGTAAAAGAAATTTAATGTCCGACGAAAATTCTGCATCTGTAGCATCCAGGTATGTACCAATAAAAAAATTTAATAGATATTGGTTAATTATCATATGAGCAGAAATTGTATATTTATTATTATGTCAGTTACGTAAGTTTGACTATATAAGTATTTGGACGAATGCAATCCTTGCAAAAAATAATCCAAATTTACTTTTAAATACATAATATCAATAATTCTTATGCAATAAAACTTATTTTTATTAACCAAAAAATAAAAATTTTAGTAAGTTAAAATCCTTAAACATTTAAAATTATTCCTCTATTTTTTTATTACTAGGTTGAAAAATTGTCTTAATATTATTTTATTTTTACATGTCTTTCTTAAATGGTTGTATCTAAAAAAACAAAATAACTAATTTTTTTTATTATTCAAATATTTTACAGTCGATTTTCTAAGGTGATGTGCGGCACATCTAGGCACGGGATCGGGGTAATGGATGAGGTTCAAGGTCAACAAAACAATCTGCAAAACACAAGAACAAGGCGAAGTGGTGTGCTTACTGTTATGGATAGGCCACCAGGTAAGTTTTTCTCGGGCCCATACTCTAGTAATAATTTGTTTTAAGAGGATTGAATGCGGTCTGGGTTTTGGACGTTTTAGACCTAAAAGCTGGACAAAATTACGCCTACTTAGGATGGCCTGATATCAATTCTGTAAAGATACACGAGTTTTTTCTTTAGCTATTTAACTAGTTTGTGTAGGAAACGGATTTTGATTTATTTTAGTTAAAAAAGTTTGTTTTCAATATGGAAAAATTTACCAATTTAATTTATTTAATTAAGAAACCGATTTTTTAAAATAAAAATAGGTTTTTTTAATATTATAGTTTAATAGCCAAAGAAAGCAAATTTCTTTACAGAATTGAAATCAGACCACCCGTAGTTATCAACATTTTGTCTAGCTTTTTGGTCTAAAATACCACGAGAATGGTGATTGCTCATTGAAAAAATTGTACAAGTTAAAAATAATACCTTAAAGCTTATACAAATTAATCTGTAAAGAAATTGACATGTCAGAATTTATTAAAGCCCCATTTTTTAAAATATTGCCTATAAAAACTGCTCAACCCCGTCCGCTTTCAATCCTCTTGATATCAAATGGCGAATACTTAGCTTTTATTTACTTTGTTTTTATTACTCTATACAGAATATATTCGTCTTATCGTTGTAAGTACTAGTGTGCCTTTAGTTTAGTGTGTGTGTAGTAATTATAAATAAAATGTATAAACTATTTTTAATGCTTTATTTACTGTCTGTATATTTTATGCATTATCTAACAAAATCAAGAATGAACATACTTTATAAAAAGTATTATTTTTTTAATTTTATCAAAATACAGGTTTCTGCCTGTTATTTATTTTAACAATACTTGATATTCCATTTTGCTGATTTTCGGACAGCAGTACAGTCGTGACTACAACAGCCTGATGATGAACTGTGCAATGAGTTCGAAACGTCGACCTAAAAATACTAACGAGGATATATCCGAAAATCGTCAAAATGGAATTTCAATCCACGAAAGCTTTAACGCATTCATAATACTTGATATTGTTTGATATTCAGTATAAATTACAATTAATATAAATTGATGTAGAAACATTAATCTTAAATATGTAATGTAAAAAAAAATAATCCTGTTTGTTATATAAATAGTTTTTGATAAAGGACATTATTAGTATACAAGTAAGTTGTTGTTTTATGTACATTTTGTAGTACATTAAATTTGCTATTTGTTTGCTATAGTTTTTAAAAATAATATTACATTTACACTTATTCTTAAAAAACAAATACGTAGATAATTATGAATTGTTTGCTTTGTTATATATTTTAGTTTTTAACACATTTTTTTTCTTAAATGTTTCTAATTTCAACGAGTGGTTTGTTTGCATGGCTTTTTCTTTTGTTTCAAAGTCATTAGTCCTGAAGTGGTACGGGAAGTAGAAGCACGTATGAATCGAGAATATATACCGCCACCGTTACCAGTAGTCAGCACTCATAGACATAACCATCGTGTATCTCAGGTTTCAGTTTTACCAACAGTACAAGAGCTACATCGGCACTCAGGTATCGAATAAATTAAAAAATAACTTTCGCAGCTCATATTATTGTTACCAATTTCTTTTTTTAAACAACACACTTCATTTTATAGCGTTAATCATATACTTTTTTGTATATTCCTTAGGACGTGACAGTTTAAAAGACGTTAGTGTTCATTCGTCTTCAGAGAGGTACAGTCCTGTAAGAAGAACTAGCGAGCCTGTTGTTACATTTAGTGAACAAATTCAAGAGCCCAATATACGAAACATACAGCAAGAGCATATTCAATTACAAGTACAAATACAAGATGAAATAATTATTTGTGACCATAATAACTCATGTATTAAATTTCTGTTTCCAACAGCAGAAGTTAAGTGAAAATACATTAGATACCTGGGATCATGCTGAACTACAAATGCTTCATACATATCATTTGCAGAGTTTACAAACGTTATCCGATCGTCCTTCGTATTTAAATCCCAGCACAAACCATCAGGGTGAGTAACTGACTATAAGAATTAATCAATGTAATGTTTATTAAGTGAATTTTAACTACTTTGATATGTATATATATATGTTCAGGTAATTCGCATGTTTTAAGCCAACACTTACAAAACTTAAACATACATCAAGTGCCCAGAGCAACCACTCCACAAACTCAAGGTATAATTAATCTTAATGTTTTTAACATTTTATTTTCATATAATATGTTTCTGCATGTTAAATTACTCAATTATAAACTAAACAATTTACACTTGTAACTCATGCTTACAGGTTCAATTACTCAAGGCACTCCCAATGTACTGACTAGTTATCAAATTCCTGTGCCATTAGATTTGAGAACAAATCAAAAAATTAATCCCCAACCTACCATATTAGTGGAAGATAAAACTACAGGTGTGTGTTTTATTTATTAGCAATTTATTTAAAAAATAGTTTTATACATAATATAAAACTTTTCTATATTAAGGTAACAACAAACAAAAGCGCATCTTAAAATCTGAAATATCTTTAACACTTACCAATGAAGATGGCAGTATGATGGAGGTCGACACATTACATACACCTCCTTTGAGACCCGTTTTAAACACAAGCTCGTGTGGAGAGATTTTAAGGAAACCTTGCACCGATGAGCAATCGCTTTATAACTATAGAACAGAAATAGATTCAATGACTGATGACTCAATGACTGAAGACACAAATATAATGTCAAACATTGATACGCCCATGTATTTGAAAAGTGCTCCATTGTTTTCAGATTATATTTTAAAAAGAACAGCAAGTGACGCTTTTGTTGTCGATTTATCTGACTTTTATTCTAATTTCACATCCGGCAACATACTCAATATTGTTAAATATTTGATATCATCCAATATTAGATCATGGCCTGTGATGGACAGACAAAATGTACTGCAGTTTCCTACAGGTTTGCAAATAGAGTTGGAAGTATGTTCTAGTGACACAGGAGCCAATTCTTATTTAAAAATTCAACGGCTTTCTGGAGACACGACTGAATACTCCAATATATGTCATCGACTAGTTGAAGACTATTTACCATGTAACGAATAATAACTCATTGTTAATCATTATGTTACTTTAAATTTTATCATGGCTGTGCTACTTATGTGAATGCAATTAATTAATATTAGTCATTAGTTTTATTAAGGCGCCTTCAAATTACAAAAAAAAAATTAACTATATTATATAATTATATACAATTAGCACTCGGATATGTATACATATAATATATTTACAAATGTATGTGAATTATAAATTATCTAAACTTTTTTAAGTGTTAACTGTTTAAATACACAACTTTATTTATTTTATTTACCAAACTATTTCCATTTAATTGTTCTGTAGTATAATTACTTATTTTTAATTATAACAGATTATAATTCTTACAGTACACATTTCTTTAATTAAGAGCAATGACTTGTACACGCACACTGCTGTATAATACAATTTTTAATTTTACATGGATTGTATTCAATCAAACGACTATTTAATTTATTTTAGCTGACAATTACAACAATTATATTTGATATACGCGCAACTTTATTGTTACAATAATTTTTTACAACATTGTTGACTTGTTTTACCTTATTATTATTATTATTATATCATTCTTATCCTTATTATTAATTATTAATGTTATTATTACTACTGTATATTACCATCTCAATTATATTTATGTGACCAATAGAAACAATTATTAATAGAATAAATATATATTGTTATATCGAGTTTAAGGAACATTTTTTATTAACTCAACTATAAATTATAAATCAATCAAAATACAAAATTTATTTTCCTAAACCAAACCTAAAATTTTCTTAGTTATCAAATCAGTTAAATTAATTTGTAGTGCTAAGTAATGTCAATTATCCTATATAAATAATAATTTAATTTAGGTTTTAATAAATGCTGCCACAATTGCCAATACTTCATTAATGTACCACAAATACATAATTTATTAGCTTCAATGTTTACAATGATACCCCCAATATTTTATTGGTTTTAACGAATTTTTTTTTTTTTTTTTGAACCTACGATTTCTTCTTAACAGCTGAAACGATTTCCTCATGTAGCAAGTCTATGGATCATAAATCGTACCAAAAAGGTCCTTAAATGTACCATAAATTAAAAAAAAAAGTCATTCTCTTCTCTTCAAAATTGTGAAACACAAAAAATTTACATTTTTTTTCACTTAATAATAGTCAAATTAGTTACAAATCTGTAGCCAAACTTTTTTTTATTAGGGAAACCCCCAAAAAAACGGGAAATTACACTTTGACCATCGCCAATTTTTAGGTTGTTATGTGTACGTAAATCAACAGCCAACAGGCATTTAAAAATATTTTTAATTGTTAATTATGATATATGGGTTATTTATAAGATCAACTTTGAATATATCCACCCTTATACCGTAATACTAAAAACATATTTTTAAGCTCAATATATTTTATAGAATGACTATATAATATGTAAGGCAGAAAGGGAAATTATCTTAAAATTTGATTTTTGAGGCAAGAGGTCCCTTTCCTGTTCTGCCTCACATATATTCAAATTGCAAGGCTTTAATCAATCATTAATGTTCTTCCTATAATTAGTTGTTGTTAATACATATTATAGAGCAGCTAAGATTTTGCCTCTCCAATTGTATTATCTGCATTTCGGTTTTGACTTTACAAGCTTTCAACACTTGGTTTTGTTCTACTAGTGCACTTTCACCTTTATTATCAATACGTCGTCATAGCTGATAAATTCAATAAGTATATATTTCATCATGTCAGAATAGACTTACACTACAGTTGAACAATTATTTCTACAGTGAGTCAAATTGGATAATTTTCTCATGATAACTTTCATTTGAAGTCTAGTGTTTTACTTACTTAGAAAGAGGATAATGATAATTCGACCAAAAATTAACCTTTGATTTCTCAATTATTATTTGACAAAATTAGACTTAATTTTAATTTGGATTTGCAACAGTGTTGTTTTTTTTATAGATTTTTTAATATATTATAATTTAGTTCAGTTTATTTTTATTTTTTTTAAAAAGATTGTGCATTTTTTCAGAATATCAAAATTTCTTTTACATTTTTGTTTTATTATTAAGTCCTACATCTATGTAGACATAAAAAAAAATATCATTTCTGCTATACTAGCCTATAAATACGAGCATTCTTCTACAGGCAAAAACAAAAAAATAAAGTTCCTATTTTAAGTTTTGCGTGTTTTATATGCATACTATATAGTGAGCTGTATATAATATTTTAAAATAATTATTTTTTCTAATAATATTCATTTTTACAAACTAACAAATTTAAACATGTTAAACAATATACATATTTTATTTTTATACCAATCTAATTAAAATATTTATATATGTTACAGACTAAATTTGTATCATTTATTACTAACAATTTATTCAATCTCACGATTTTCCTTTCTCATTTTTTAATTTTTCTATTTCTCGTTCGACGTAATCTTCTAAATTGTCAAGAGGTTTGTAGTGATTATGTACAACCTGCGAACCGACCATCATGGATGTTAAAGCCATGATAGAGCACTTCACATACAGTGAAAATGGTATGTGCTTAGACATTAAGATTCATCCTTTATCCTCTCAGCAGCAATTCTTTTAGCTTCTTTCTGTTTGTATACTTCATAAAAATTCACACCCAATGGATGCCAGTTTATCATTAAGTACTCTATTCCAGCGCCAGAAATGAAAAAAATTGGTAATGCTCTATACAATAGAACAATTAATATTAAATTAGTAATTGAGCAAAATGTTTTTTTTTACAGAAAACTTACTATATATTACCTATAAAATCCAAAACGTTTACCCGGTAAATGATAGATCCAACGCCGCAAAGTAATAAAAAAACTCATTGCGATTGCATTTTTTTATGTCATAAGAAGTCAGAAGATATATTATGGCAGTCGCTGAATGCAGACCTGTTATCACAAATTATATAATGTTGATAAGATGATACCAGGCGGTATATTATAATAGTGTGGCGGCCCACATACAGCACTGTAGCGGATGTATGGCCACGAGGCGCCACAGCTAGCGCAACCTAGCTGTCGGCATCGATACCGCCTCAACACATGGTCAGATCATCAGATCTCGGTAGTTGTGACGAACCGTAGCGAACTTCTCGCATGTGATCAAAGTCACCCAGAGCGCACATATAAATACGCACACGACAACTACCGACCAATGTCTTCGGACACCGGCCGGGCAACCTTTTGCCTGCATCCGCCACAATAGTAAATGTTCATGGATGTTACCACAGAATAACCAGAAGAGACATTCAATGAGAACTCGAAATCGGTGAGAGCATCAGTGAAGCCATGAAAAAATAGATCTATTTTGTCATGAGTGTAGCTAGAAATTTACCATTATTAAAAATTATTCATTACTGACGAAATTAATTTCACACATTTTCCGGATAGAAAATGAAAAAATGAACCGTATCGCTTGAAATAATAGTAATTATCTTCATACTGCCTAATACTACCCTGATTCTGCCCCAGGTGTAGTAAATCTATCGCGCATAAGAAGTAAGAACCCATGTAAATATTGAAAGTGTCTCTTCTGGTTATTCTGTGATGTTGCCAACTGTACGATATTTACTATTTAGACTTTAGTACACGGCCGTGACCGATGACTTAGTATTTACCATAGGGCATAGACCTATAAAGAAATAGGTTATTTACCGCTGAAGTCTAATTTTAATACCATAAATTATATTTTAATTGTTGTTAAAACTTAAAAGGCTTCAATAATTTAATACACTAATAATAATACCCATCACATGGCCAAAATATAATTAAGTACAAATCCAATGTCATACATACTATTTGTAGAGCCCTATTGGTACATAATATTATGTCATATTTATCACTGTTCTCAAAGATCTAAAAACTTCAACTGTGACAAACTGCCAAGTTACACTACAAATGCTTTAGAAGCTGTACAATTCATCATTATAATCTTCTTGTTTCTGAGTTCTCATTATTCCTAGCAACCGCCAAAGAAGATTAAGAAGGCGCTGGTGATGTGACCTGGTGTTCATTAGAACAAAAAATGTAAATAAACTATCGAAACTCGAAATTCGGGGAGGCTCTTCACTGTCAATCCGCCTTTGTAAATATTACATACATTATGAATGTTGTTCTACATTGTAACAGATTGCAATAAATTACCTTTTACATACGTACGTCGTTGTTTAAAATTAATATGCTCTATGCTTGCAGGCTTAACAGTCGACTGTAGCTGTTGTTCTCTACTGCCTATTAAAAATTCTATTACTCTCTAACAGTTTAGAACTTTCCTTTTTGTAAATATTAAGTGTCATATTATGCAAATAATTGTAATGGATAATAACTCCTAACTTCCTATAAAAAATACCTGAGATTTAATTACTGATTTAGCACGGAGGCAACAAACCTGAATTGGGTTGAAATGTGTTAGAATTAAATAAAATAATGTTTACCTCTCATCTAACTATTCATACCTACTTAAGTATTATTATAGTGCGATTCATTAAACACTACTATTTTGCTAAATCTGTATATATACCTACAGCCTTTCTCTATTATATTAACATTGTTCTTTTAGCTATATTATAGTATTTTGAGTTGGAAAAGCCTGCGCAGAGTGAAGTGGCTTGATTAAGTATCATCACAGTTAAATTAGTTTATGCTAATTTATGGTTACATGTTTACATGACAACCCATTATTAACATATTATTTATTAACATTTTTAACAAAATTTGATAGAAGTAGCGTGAAAAGATATTTTAAATATTTATGTGTAATATAATTTATATAATATAGTTTAAATAATTTTACATAACATTAATTATTTTAATACAAATACAACTAGATTTCAGTCTTTTTTTACATGGTTATAGATTATATCGGATACAATAATTTACCCGTACACACACGTTCTAGCAGTGTCATCCATGAGACAGTTAATGGTCGTTTGATTGATTCTGGAATATAATGATTAACCGTGGCCCACCAAGAGTCTGCTACTAATGTAGCATCTAGCACTACGGTATTTGACAAGTCTGACTTACTAGCAATATTGAGTTTGATAATCCCTGAAAAAAATAAATTCTTACTTATCTATTTAACATAACTTATAAGAAAAAAACGTAGTAGTAACCTGCAGCTGAATTTGGTTTAAAAAACCAAATAAGTGATGTGTAAATTGGTAATACTTGCAATGCATATCGTAAACGAATCAGTACTCCTTTAGTCATGACCAATAATATTCGTAACTTAATAAAACCAAATATTGTTTTAGGCATTGTTTTCAATAATTAAACTTTTATTATAACATACAACTACAAACACGATGTAATAAATTAAAGTGGTTGGTAACAGGAACAGTAATATAGCAAAAGAAATTGTCCCAACATATAGTTGTTGAGTGGTGTAAGGTATAGACCTTCCTGGCTGTGGGGTACAGCTACGACCAACAAATAGTTTTGCCAAAATCATAAGGCTTTTCCATTGTAATTTGTACAGCCTAAATAAAAATGAGAAATATATTATTAATAATAATAATGTTTTTATATGCACTCACCAAGCTGCATACACATAAATCCAATACACGTGTAAGCTAACAATAGCTAAGACATCTTCTAGAATTGCAATTTGGAAGGACAATCCAAATTTTCCAATAAACATATAAACTTGAAATGTGAATTCCAAAAAAGGCCGACATATAACTGAATATTTTTTTTAAAATTATGTTTTATTATTATTTACATAGTAATAAGAGCTAATTTTATGAGAAAAAATAATTGTGTTATGCCTTAGTAAGTGGGAATGCTCACCGTATATTTAAATACATTTGTTTTAAAAATATTACCTATTAAGCTACACATACTTAAAAGTTATAAAATAAATACTAAAATATACATATGAATGCTAAGAGTTTTTTGGAATTTTAAATCTTGGGACTAATATTTTATCACATACCTAAAAAAGACCACCAAAGATTCACTAGAAAAAGGAAGCATGTTCCAAGTAAGCTGTTCAACGGATCGTTGAGTTTTAATCCTGCTGGGCTACCCATAAGCCATTGTAAGGTACTTTGAAGTGCCATAATTACCTGCTAAATAAAGTTAATTGTTAAATTATATATACATATATATATATATATATATATCCTAAAACAAAATATTTTACATACATAAGAAATACTAGATGTATAGGAAAAAAAATTGTTGGACGACTCAAATATTGTGTTGAAAAAATAAATACAAAATATTCCAATAATTGCATCCCATATGCAAGATATTAAATAGTTGATAACTTTTATTTTTGAAGAAACATTATTCTTTTGCATGAGGTTTTCAATTACCCACACATAGTTTTTTGCGACATCCAACATATATTGAAACAATGTTAGCCGCAACAGAGTAGCTTTTAAAATTTTTAGATCAAAAATCATGACAAGAGCATTTAACAATATTAAAACATAGCTTGCTATATATTTTGTTAGTTTAAAATCAGACCAGTTTTTAGTTTGTTTTGTGTTTTTCACGTAGCTTAACCATTTTGAAAGCATTATAAAACAAACAAAACTGTTAATGTCATTTTCGTTCTTAAGTATTGTCCCATAGTCACATAAGTCTGAAGGCTCATATAAAATTATAACAAAATTATTGAGCCGATTTAAAGACCAGTTAGCAGATAAATTTCCATCGATTTCAGTTATACACAGAATATTGTGATTGGTATTTTCACTACATCCATAGCAAGTAGTTCTTGTAAAATGTCCAAACTTGTGCATATAACAATCGGCACGGGTTCCTTGAGAGTTGGCAAAAATAAAATAATATCTCACATCATTGACCAATTTAGTCAATCCCACCAGATCAACTGTAATTTCAGGTGAATCTAAAATTGGTTTAGGAAAAAACACTACTTCTTTCTTAATCATATTACTATTAACACAGCAAGAAAAAAATGTTTGTTTATATCGCACTTGCAGGTTGCTGTTTTAAAACATAAACAAAAAATGTAATTTAAATTTGAAAAAAACTATAATATTGTTCACCGTTATCACTATAGCCGTTATCAAATGTCATGTTTGGCAATCGAAATAGATAAGAGTTCATATCAATCTCGATGCGTTTGGCTATCAAATGACTCCAAGTCACAACCACAGCTACTATAGATAGTTAGTCATAAATCATAATAATATAATTAATAAAATACAATTTTTTTAAACGGAAACAGTATTTACTTCTATAATGTCTGAAAATACACGAAGTTCCGCTTTTCGAAAAATTGATGTCGATCAATTCAATGAAAATTTCAAAGATGATGAACAATCAGAGTTCCAGTCTGTAACAACAATTCCAGATGAAACGGAAATCAATGTATTGATAAATCAGTATCCTTTACTTTCCAATTACAATAACTTTAACCCAATTATAAAATATTTATTGATTTTTTAGGTGCATGATTAAAAAATATGCATATTTACATATTAATGTGCATGTGTTAAATATTATTTGTTCCGTCTACAATTTTTTTTGAGATATTAAGGTTATCATATTGTGATTACTAAATTAAATAGCTATATTTCACATAAAATTTTCCTTAGCAATTTTTTTATAGAGGGCGACTTGCGGAAGCTTTAAAATCTGCACTAAAAAATGCTCCTTTAGGGTCAAAAAATCAACAGCTGAGGGTAAGTAGAAATAATTAAATAGTTAAATAATGATGTATTGAATTTACGTGAAACTATGTTTCTTTTAGGATAATGCGCTAAATGTTGTTATGAAAGTTTTATTGGCAACTAAATTATCACAAATTGATGAAGTTGTTGGCCAACTTGATATTGATATGGTAGATATATTGATGAAGTACATTTACAAGGGTTTTGAAAAGTCAACGGAGAAAAAAAGCAGTCATCTTCTAATGTGGCACGAGAAAGCATATGCTCTTGGTGGTGCTGGAAGTATAATAAGAGTATTATCAGATCGAAAAAGAGTATAACCTATTCAATTCAAATGAATAAATAACTGGTAATGATCAACAAATTACAATGTCACATATTGTATTTGAAGAAATACAATTTGAACATTTATTATTATGAATTAAGATTAATTAACTTGTTTAAATGTTTATTTTAAGTTTTTATCAAATTAGGTTAACATACTGGAATTTTTAGTGCATTGATATCAAATCATAAATCCTTAATCAATCTAAAATCCTTAAAAATGTAATCAATGATTAATAATTTGTATATCATACAAAACATTAGTCAAAACCTGTCAAATATTTTTAAATAGCATGTTATAGCACGTTAAATAGCATGTTAATGTTAAAAATAAATATTTAATTTACTAAGTACAAACATTTTTTTTTAAATTTTGTGTGAATTCAAAAAAACAATTTTGGTTTATTGTTATTATTATTTTAATAGCTGTGATACCAGTCACAAATCATTTTATCATTTAAACTTGTTCAAGTATTAAATAGTTATCATTTTATAGAATGTTTTTTAACATAAAATTACTAAAAAACGAATATATTATAAATTATATTTTTTTTAAAAGTTGCATCCTTTTAATGGCAATTAAGCAACTAATACTATTTAAATATTTTTGTAATTATAGTATTTTGATTTTGTTCTTTTAACTAAATATTTGTATTAATAATATTTATGTATTTATACAAAATGTAGTAACTTATTTTAAATAATAATTTATTACATTATAATCTATGAATGTTTTTGGTCTAATAAGTGGTGCAATGAGGGAAATGTTTTAGATGTCAAAACATTTATTTGAGCAATGTTTATCAAAAACTTTAACAAACAAAAACATGTATTTTATGGTATTTAATAAAAGTAAATTCTTATTGAGTTTCTTTTAACGGGGTAAGAACTCTCCTTGTTATATTTATGAAGACTTCTCTTCAAGAAAAGCAGTGTTAGATCTTAATGTCTCGTTAAGCTAAGTAAGTAGATACTGGATTTACTTGATATTTAAGTGAATTGATTCTATTAGTTTGTTTATCCTAACTAATAAAAACTGCAGAGCTTATAAGACATTAAAAAAACCAATAAAATGTGGATGGGTAGGTCATAGATGTACAACTATTCTTATAACTAAGTGATAAAATCACTTTTAAATAAAAGCTTCGATGTGAATCAGAGGATAGTAGATTCAAACTAGTAGAGTCCAAACCAAGTTTAGTAATGAAGTATTATACGTAAGTGGGTAATAGTAGTAGTAGTAAGTAATTAAGGGAGGTCTAGTGTTCACAAATAAAAATACAAATTTCGATAAAAGCATTTTACCTAATGATAATAATTATATGCTTAAAATTAATTTTTAGTTTTACGGTGGATACGATCAGGGTTGTTAGTCAATACAAATGTAATGCCATAGTTATCCATAGATTGTTATTAACAATATAATGAAAATATTTTTATTACCTGTTGACTCTTGTTTCACTCACACATAACAACCTAGTAACTGACAAAGTGTAATTTTCCCTTATTTCTGTGTTTCTTCTTAATAAAAAAAAGTTTGACTACAGATTTTTGAAAAAATTGTATATGTAGAATGTAGATATACAATTGAAGGGCTGCAGGGAAAAAAGATAAATGTCAATTTTTTTGGAAAATGAGATTTTGGTATCAAATTATTTGTATTGACGTATTGTATCTTTTATGCGTTTGAACCAGGGAAAAAACAGATTAGTCGAGAGTAACGACCACCGGATGCTTAGGCATCCGGTTAATTTCAAAATGTGTTACGTTTTGAAATTAAAAACATGATTTTCTCAGAATAAACAAAAATTGACATTGATCTTTTTTCCCCACAGCCCTTCAATTATATACAACTATATTGTATATAGTATAAATGGTTTCATTTTAGATTTACCTTCGGTTGAATTTTCATTCCTAATCCTTAAGACATTGTTTAAAAAAGAGGAATAAAGAAAAAAATCTATCCCTTCTAAAGGAAATTACTATCAGAAGAAAATAAAAATAAGAAAAACAATTAAGATTATAAAATTCAAACAATTTTAAAGTTATGGTTTTAAGTAAAGAAATACTCATTTAAATAAATAACATTTTTTAAATTTTCGAACTTACACATTTCTTAATCCCTTCTCATTTTACTATTATACCTACCTAAAATCTAAATTGAAATCATTCCCTGCTTTTTATCAAACGTTCAAATCAGTTTGTGTCTTGGCAGCACTGCGCTATATTATTGATTTATAAATGTACATTGTAACATCTATCTATATAGTTCTATAGAGACAACTCCCATCACTAGAGACAAGCATAGTCCCTGTAACTTATTATACTAATTTAGGTCATTGAAGTAGTACGTGATATTGTTGATCGCCAAAATAATAAACGCAAAACCAAATAAAATCAATGACCAAAGTTATAATTTTCTTTTAAAAATACAATAAGTTTTACCATTTACAACTTTTTTAAGAATATCCAAGTTAAAAATGTGAATTGGTTTTAGACTAGTTAAAGCATGTATTTAAATGTATATACATATAACTGTAAGTATTCCAACATCATTTGCTTAAAAAATTAAGGTCATCTTAGACCTGAAATGCAGATAGTATTTTAAAGATATTACCTCTATTTATAGGAATGTACCAGCGGTGTCATTTTAATCATCAGTCAAGTATTTTTTTTTGTTCCGTTTGTTCAACTAATATATGATAATGGATCAGCCATCATATTCAAAAGATATCGTTTTAAATATGGGTTGTCCAAGTTCACCTGATCAATCAAGCTCGCAAAATGTAGTTCATATATCGTCTGACAGTGATACAGACATCGAAGATCATGTATATACATTTAGTAGTAAGAAGTCTAGTACTACTTTACTTGATGTAGCTAACAGGTTTTCTGATCCTGATATTTGTCCAGTCTGGCGTTGCAATATTTCACGTAAAAATTCAAAGTATCTAGTAAAGGGTCATTTAATTTCTGGTGACCATAATATAACAAAATCAATAATTCACATGATACAAAGTGAAAGAGGTAAATTTTCTTTACGACTTTCTAAAGTAAAATCTATAAATGAAGTAAATCTGCCACTAATGATAAAAAACGCAGGTATGTCTGCTGTTTATTTAACAATGCCTTGTTCGGAGCGCTTGACTACTAAAAATAATTGTTTTTTAAAAGTACGGCCTATGTCTCATTTAATATCTTACTTAAATCGAAAAAAAGGTATAGGTATCATATCGCTAATACTTAGAGTAAATCCAGAACTAATACTTGATCTATATGTCATTCCTCCTTCTAAGATTTCGGCTGGTTTTTTAGAGCCATTATTTGAAGATTTGAGTAATAAACCCCTTAAAATGGATCATTTAGTTATTGTGGCAATTTGTAAACATTTTTTCAAAATTTAATCTTAAAGATTTATTATAACTTCAAACATTTTTGTTTTTAAATAGGTATTTGTATCTATATTACAGTCATGTTTATAGATACATAGTATGTAATTCTGTTTGTGCGGCTATAACAATTAGTGTTAATTAAGTAGAGCTTGTGTGAGTGAGTTAAGTGTGCTGCTGTAAGCAATTGTTTTGTAACTTGCAAGAATTAAACCCGACACATCAATAACGTTTTTTAATAATGTTGCAAAGTTTTGGCCTAAACAATTCTGAGGTCTTTGAAAACGCGCCATATTATTGTTCGGGTAACAATAAAGCTAATGTTTAAGGAATATAAAAGTGTTTTCTTTCAAATTGCTTGTACAACTAAATAATTGTTACAGTCGTAAAGACTGTAAAAATATGTTATTATTGTAATTACTATTGATTATACTATTAACACAGTAGCATGTATATATATATATATATATATATATATATATTACTTTAAAAAGACATTTTGTGAATAAATTGTACATTTTATCTTATTTGTTTTGTTCAATGAAATTGATTTGTGATTTTCTTATTTTAGACATAATTATTGTATAGGTATTTATAGTACTTACAATTTGTATTTAAATTTTTGTGGACTTAAAAACATAATATGTATTGAAAGATAAATATATGATACTTAATTTATCTAGTAGTGTTATGATTTTATAATTATATCACTCAATGGCTCAATTATATTTTTATAATAAACAATAATGGTAGTTTTTTGGATTCATTAAAAATAAAGGTAAGTTAGAGTAGAATTTTGTTATGTTCTAAACAATTTCACTAAATTAAATTATATACATACAAAAATATAATTTAATTTAGTGAAATTGTTTAGAGCATAACAGTATACCATTTACATAATTACTAATTCTAGTATGTACTATTTCATCTGCTGACAATAATTATTTTAAATCACATAATTTATATGGGTATTTCATTAAATTTAACAATATTAAGAATTACATTTTTATTTGATGTATTATTTTTTCATAAAAAATACCACGTTCTTTAATGCCATATAAAAATATGAACTAGGATTTAAAATTATTTATATTATTAGTTCTATAAAGTAGTATTAAAATATATTTTACAACTCATAAATAACATTCGTGAAGGTAGGTAAGCAGACAACTATATTTATACTATACATCTCATAAAGCTTTTTATTATTTATCAACTTAAATTTGTATTCATTTTAAATCGTGGTGAGTATACATAACACAGTAATGTTTTTTCATGAATTACAAGTCTCAACCTTATTGGGTTAAATCCCAATAGCTAACATTGATAGTAGATGTTGATAAGATTGTGTTAGTTTCGTCTTAATTCTGATAAGAAGATAACGGGAAAATGAGCCTGAGGCCAGCAACGTCTATGGCTGGTCTTACAGGTAACAGGCTATGGCACTGTAGTGACTGCTTTTCGTGTTAACAAAAATAAATGACATGTCAGCAAAATTGCAGAGCTTTGGAAATGTAGTTTTTAGTATTAAAAGTTAATGTGCAGAGTATGCTCAATGAAATATACAATAATTATTAAGCACTAAACATGATTAAAGGCTGAATGTGATTCAAATTTCTTTTTAAATTATGGTAACCGAACAAAAAAATATGAATGTTGCAACAGATTGTCAATTGGCACAATCCAAAAACAAAATCAAACAGCTTAAAAAGAAAATTAAGACTCAAAAGTCCGAAAAGAAGGTAATACACATAACAATTTATAACATAGTACAGACTTGTTGGATAACCTAAACACTGAGAAATTTGTTACCAATGCTAGTAATGTAACAGTAATATTGATTTTATAGTAGCTGATATAGATTTTCCATATTTTATACTGTATTCATTAATCAATGAAGAGTAATCAAATTATTTATTAATTTGGTGTACTATGTGTTTTAGTATGAAAGAAATGATCAAGATATTAAATGTAACCATGATCCGATTGAACAAAAATTAACCAACGAACAAAAACAAGATATTTTTAACAATTTCAAGATTAGTATAGAAATTAATGTTTTGGCAGTAATACTCTTTCTGTCAGCAGTATCATCTAGGTTTTTCAAATTAAATCAACCCCAAAATGTAGTGTAAGTATTTTTATATTTTTTTCTACAGTTTAAGTATAATATATTTCAAATAAATTACTTATAATCAGTACTCGAATTGGAGGTAGGAGGACTAAGTACCCCAACATTTTTCAAACATTGTAGCGTACCTCTACTAATTTCTATAAGTGGTGGTTTTTTTGTGATAAAAAAAATGCCGGTTACACTCTTTTTATTTAAAGTAAAATCGTCCCCCTACGGTTTTTTCCATTCAAGCACAGCATATAATTGACACAATTGCAAAAACAATACAATCGCCACTTCATTGTACATAATATGAATATTGTATTATAGATTTGATGAACTACATCACGGAAAATATGTAAGTTTGTATATGAAACGAACATTTTTCTTTGATACACATCCGCCTTTTGGGAAACAACTTATAGCTGCTATAGCATACTTATGTAATTATGACGGTAAGTTTTTTTATAATCTCAGCAAGTTAATTTTAAAAAGTAAATAATATATATTAATGTATATTAAACAGAATTAACTATATTTTAATAATTTTTTTTCTTTGTTAACATGTTAAATATATTGATTGCTACAACGAAGAAAGTCATAACTTGATTTTTGTAACTCTTGAGGAAACCAAAAATAAAATTTCAATTTTGATTAATTGGTCTAATTTTTTATGTACATAATTTATACAAGATTCCTATATTCCCAGGGTGGTTTTTGTGTTAAAAAAGAAAGGACTTTTTGTTTTTGTTATCAAATTAGTAAAAATTAAGGTATGACTTGCTGTAGCAATTTTTTTTTTTACTTAATTTTGTTAAGGCAATATTCTTTTTTAGGTAATTTCAAGTTTGAAAGAATTGGAAATGATTTCAATGATAGTGTTCCTTTATTTGGCTTGCGGTTTGTACCAGCACTATGTGGTAGTTTAATTATTCCTGTTGCGTATCAACTTATGTTGGAACTAGGTTGTCGACATTGGTGTGCAGCATTAGCAGCATTTCTTTTGCTATGTGGTAATTATTTTACTGTAATTTATTTGTTTATATATTTAATGTCATTTAAGTCAATTAATTAAACTCACTTTGCAGAAAACACATTATTAACACAATCTAGATTTATTTTGATGGAGTCTATTCTAATATTTTTCTCACTGTGTGGTCTGTTGTTTATATTGAAGTATAAAAGACTCAACATGAAATCGTCAGTTGCCTTATTATATTTAGCAATAGCATCTATTTGTTTAACTATGGCTACGTGGTAAGTACAAAGAAACTTAAAATTGTATACCTACAAGAATTGTTTAATAGCAACCATTATTATTTTTCAGTGTCAAATATGTTGGATTATTCTCCTGGTTTTTGAGTTTATGGATAATTTGTAGGGACTATTGGGTTAACCATTTAGGCGATAGACATTTATCAGATATTACTGTAGCCGCATGTGCTTTTCTACGGTTTTTTATTACTTTTACCATGTCAGTATCGATCTATTTTTCAATATTTTTTATTCATCTCATAATTTTAAACAAAGCTGGCCCACATGACAGTGTTATGACAAGTGCATTTCAAGCTAGTCTAGAGGTAATAATCAAACATTTCAAATAGTTTTATTTTGGCTAAATTATTTGTCAATACTTTTAAGAAGTTCTAGTTTACTTCTTCTTATTATTTTTTGTTAATTTAGGGTGGCTTAGCTTCAATTACTAAAGGCCAACCTATGTATGTTGCCCATGGGTCACAAATTACTTTACGTCATACTCACGGTCGCACGTGTTGGCTTCATTCGCATACCCATGTGTATCCAATTAAGTATCCAGATAAACGTGGAAGTTCCCATCAACAACAAGTCACATGTTATACGTTCAAAGTACCTAAATATTTAATATTATCTTACATGGTTTTTAGCTTAGACTATATTATAATACTTATTATATTATTCAACTTCCACCATTTTTGTATTTTGTTTTTTTTTGTTTTGATAGGACGTAAACAATTGGTGGATTGTTAAAAGACCAAACAAAAATTCATTAGCTGTAGAAGACACCAAAGAACCTGATAGTATTCAGCATGGAGATGTTATACAGTTAGTACATGGTATGACAAGTCGAGCTTTAAATTCTCACGACGTTGCTGCTCCTGTATCACCACAAAATCAAGTAAGTTAATAAATTTGGAATAAAATAAAGTTTTTAATAAAAGTAATTTATTTTATTTTTTTAACTAATTATGTAATTTTATTAGTACTAAGATAAATTGTTTTTAGGAAGTATCATGTTACATAGATTACAATGTGTCTATGCCAGCTCAGAATTTGTGGAAAGTAGAAATAGCAAATCGAGATCAATATGGGGATAAATGGCAAGCAATCCATTCACAAGTATATATTTGTAATAATTTTTTACTTATTACTTTTTTTTTTACAATTTAATAACTTGTTAGGTGGTTTTGGTTCATGTTAATACCACACAAGCTTTGAAATTCAGTGGTAGACAATTACCCGATTGGGGATTTAATCAACATGAAGTTGTTACTGATAAAGTGTTGTTTCAAGATGATGCAGTTTGGAATGTTGAAGAACACCGTTATACTAAAAGTAATTATACTTAAGTATAAATCATTGCATATAACACTAAAATATAACAATTTGAGCTTTGAGGGTTTACGGTGAATATTGCAAAAGAGTGTAACTGGCATTTATGCGATTTATAAGTGCCAAAATAATTTTTATTTTTTGATAAAACATGAAACAAAACTATAGTACCTATTAAATTTATTTTTTTGACAACTAAAAAAAAAAAATGTTTTTATTGCACTATACTTCACTTGATAATCGAATATATTAATTTTCCCAAAATATGCAAAATGGCATGTTGTTTAAATGCTTTTGTAATATTGTCGTTGATATGTAAGTAACATCAATAATTTAAAATAAAAATATTTTATATGTTATTTTCATGTATTCCAGGTGAAAATGAAAAAGAAAGAGAGCGTGAACTAGTCACTGCTGAAATGATTCCACCAAAAGGAACTCAACTGGGATTATGGGACAGATTTTGGGAACTACAATACAAAATTATCTTCTCATCTCCAACAGCCCAAAACGTCCATTCTCACATGTATAGCAGTGATCCTTTTGAGTGGCCATTGATGGTCAGAGGTGTTGCTTACTGGTTAAGCGAACACGACAATGTAAGTAATAAACAGTCGTAAGAATACCATAAATTGTTTTAATTATTAAAATATTAATTGTGACGTTTTAGGGTCAAATACATTTATTAGGAAACATTATTATTTGGTACTCATCTACTTTATGTCTGTTTCTGTACATATCATTTTTCATATTTTATCTACTACGACAACAAAGGCAGATATATGATTTATCTAATGGTAATATATTTTTCATTTAAAGAACAAATAAATATAATATTGGATTTTATAAAATATTTAAATGGTTTACGGTTACACCTAAATTTACAAATTGGCTTTTATCTTACATCGTCCATCATCAAGATTAGAATGGAAATAGAGTACAACTGCAAGTTGTCCTTTTTAGATGTATTGGTTAACAGAAAATTTAAAGTTTTGTTCGGTACAGCGGTTTATAGAAAAACAACACGTACAGATAGACATCTAAACTTTCAGTCACACTATTGTCCAAAAAATAAAACTAGAACTCTTCACACCCTGGCCATACAAGTGGTATGTGTAGGAGACAAAAACTATCTGGAAGAAGTAAAATTACATATGAAACAAACACTTTATTAAGAACCAAAATGAAAACATGATCAACAGAATGTCGCTGATAGTCAACCCTCAAAGATGGTCCCAAAGGCACAATAATTATACTGTACTTAAAAGGGGTAACAGATTGCATAACAAGGATAGCCTACAAGCATGAGGTGATAACAGTTTTTCCTACAGTTATGAAACCAGGAGAATTTTCCCAGAGCCTGATGGATGCTGCACCGAAATTACACCGGGGGCTTATAAGACTTATGTTCTTGTAGTAATTTATACATAGATCAGACAGGAAGAGCCAAGAAGTGCGTAAACAAATAAACGCAAAAGATGTAGACCACAGACGAACAAAAAGATCGGCAGTAGCGGAACATGCTGATCGAAAAGACCATAATATTTACTCTGAAAATGGAAATGTTATCCAGGAAAGCATATTACGCAAAACGGATAATAAGAGAAGAGAGATAGTAGTAGAAAAGTGCTCACAAAATTTTAACATAGAAATTGTGATGGAAACTGGAGTAAATCTAGTATAATATAAATAAACAGGGGTGCAGAGAAGAGAGAAGCAAGTCCATGGAGAGGGGGGAGGATGAGGTCAGAAAAGCTGGCGGCGGAGGTAGCACCGATGGTGGTAAACAACAAACAAAAAGCCAGCAGCAAGAAAAGAATAGTAGAGGGAAAACACTCATCGGCATTTGTAATCTATGACCGAAGAGACGATTGGTTCAGTGCACAGTGAGCAGCAAAATGAACAACACATAACCAGCACTTAACATAGCACTGAAGATGAAAAATAAAAAGCTTCCAAAACGTTTGTAATTTGTAAATATAGGTGTAACCATGTAAATATTTCAAAAATACCTTTATAAACTACAACCAATTTATAATTGGATTTGATATTTTAAATAATTTTTCAGACGAATGGGAGCAATTTAAAACAATTGGGGAAGTATTAGCAATCGGTTATGGCCTACATTATTTTCCATATTTCTTTGTGGATCGTACGCTATTTTTACATCATTACTTGCCTGCTTTGATTTTTAAAATTTTACTTTGTGCAGCGTTCATACAACATTTAGCCAACATTGTGAAGTATGTGTTATCAAAATATTTTAACTAAACATTAATTTTATTGATTAATTGTTATTTTATTTTTAGATCAAAATTTATGTTGAGGATCATATTTCACTTGGGACTGTGTATATGGATTTTAAGTGTTATGTATGTTTTCAAAAAGTTTATTGTTTTTAGTTATGGGACAACTCCTTTGTCGTCTAAAGATGTTTTCAGGCTGCGGTGGAAAGACACATGGGATTTTATAATACATAAACCTTAATTAGAACGCTATTGCTACTAAAAATATTATGGTTTCAGTACAAACTGCCTATGAACAAAATATACAAAAGTAATATATCCCTAGTTGAGACATCTATTTTTATTACATTTATATGGTGTAAAAATGTAATATTCTAATTAGTATTAATATATATTTTTTTATCAATTAATTTAATTTGATAAGAAATATTTAAAAAACAAACCTTTTAAAATTGACCAAATTTTATAAAAAAAAAAAAACAAATTGTTAAAATGTACTACTTATATTAACTACTTATTAATTTGGCTTAATATACTTTCTGATATAAATATATTACTTAAAGGTGCAAGATTATTTTTTTATTACGCAATGTATATCTAGGAATGTAATTCATTAATTAAGAAGTGTAATATGTAATTATTATTATCAATAATCAGTATTATACTTAATGGAAATCATGACAATTTTATACAACATATGGACTGTTTAAGAGTAAGATTATGTGTTATTTAAGATAGTAGAATATGCATTGTTGTAAATTCAAATAAAAATATCAATATATGGAAATTTATTGCAACCTAATTAAAATTAGTATTAAATACATTTGTGCAATCTTTTTAGAGTTATTTTTTTATTCATATGTTTATAGCTAAATGTTGTTATATATATTTTATAAATATTAAACATAAGAAGTTTTATGAATTATAGTAATTATTTATTTGTAACTAACTTGACATTAAAAAAAAATAATTTATTGATTTCTAATTATTATTCTGTTATTTCTTGTATACCGCAAATATTATTGTATTTAATTAATTTTGTATCCATAGTTAATTTTTTTCACTTGTTGTCGCCATATTTTTTGCGAATCTGTGTAAAATTGTTATTCCTATTTTCAATATAATTATAAATTTCTATTTTGTTTTGTTTAAAAATATAAAATTTTGTATTTTATTATATATTTACAAAAATTAATTAAATTATCATCTTATGTGTTCAAAAACGTTTAGTTTTTACAAATTATTCGATTTTAGACGAATTACGGGAGTTTAGAATAGATGTGAGATAGGTAGAAAATACACAAATCTGGTTTATGATAACCCAATAATGTATATCGGGTATACACAAATCACAATAGTATTAACATTTTGTATTATATACTCACTGGTATTATATTATATAATCTGAGCGCACGGCACTGCGCTAGGCCAAGTTCCAGCAATGTCAGTGTATCTTTACATAAATCAATTCTCTTAGTTTTTTAACTCGCATAACTCCGTTTCCTCTTAAGATAAACTTTTGAAATTTGAAACATAGATTAAGCTCGAGTAGCTTAGGACACTGTACAAAATTGAGGTCTGGAACTTGGCTCTTTTTCACAGTTAGGTTTTTGTTGGAAATATAATATACAGTATACTACAATAATTAATAAGTAACGAAAATGAAAAACGATTGGTAATTAAAGTGATTAGTGATATATTGGTATTTATCGGAATTCCAAATGAATATTTTGTTTTAACAGTTCTAATTATTATTTTAATGTCGAATATAAAATTGAGATTATAATTTTATACTGAGTTGATACAATTTATTTAATTTTAAAACTCGAATTGATCTAAATAGATGGCTGGCTTGTTGAAAATACAGACTGATTTTAGATAAATATACCTTTTACACGTTATTACCTACTTATTATCAAAACTATATGGTTACAACAGCATTGTTTATTCGCGTCAACCACTTCTGAGTTTGTTTAAACTTCTGACTTTAAGCTTCTAAGTTATTTGACAATGTAAAAAAAAAAAAAATAATAAACACGTGTATTGTTGATCATGCCCGAAACGTCAAGCGATGGCATCGAAACTACCAGTCGATTCGAATGAATCTGCCACAGAAATGACCAGCAGCAACGAATCGTTGTGCTCCTTCAAACTAAAGTCGCCTATAGAGCAAGTCCAAAATAAGTTTTTCAGTATGGTAAAGTCTTGTGACGTGTCGTCTGTAAACAGTATGCTCAGCGACCACAAAGACCTGGACATCAACTGCAAGAACTATCAAGGCATGACGGGTTTAAACCTGGCCATCGAGAGCAACTGCGAGCCGATTATAGATCTGTTGTTGGCGCGTCCCGGATTAGATATCGGCGACTCCTTGATGTACGCCATCCAGAATAACCGATATTCCACTGTCGTCAAATTCCTGGACATGTTGAAAGAGACCAATCCGGATAAGGCGTTTGTCGGCTACGAACATTCCACAGCGTTCCCTCAATATCTGACGCCACTAATGTTGGCCGCTCAGTGCGGACTGTTTAGAATTATTAGTTTACTGCTTAAACGGGGGCACACCATAGCCATACCGCACAAGCACACGTGTGTGTGCAAAGAGGTGAATGAAAAGATAACTTGCGTGCCTCGTAGCGAATAACAACTTATATTTTGCCTGTATCAACGGAATGTTTTAGGTGTGCAAATCGCTAGCTCAACTTAACAACGGGCTGGGAGCGGCCGAGACGAAGCTCCTGTCCGTCTTCCGAGCAAACTCTAACCCGGCGTACATATCGCTGACATCCGACGATCCGATATTGACGTCGTTCCATCTCAGCCGGATGCTTCGAGATCACGGTAACGTGGACAGGATATTTAAGTCGGACTACGAAACACTGGACCTGCATACTAGGTTGTTCGCGGTTAACCTGATAGGGCTGTGTCTAATCAGAAGGGCTGCACTTTCTTCGGTACGTTCCCGTATCATCGGTTAGTGTTGGCCATGGATTTGAAACAAAAAGAGTTCGTAGCACACGCGTACGTTCAACAGACGTTGGAGAAGGCGTGGTCCGGTGACTGGTATGAATGGAAGCGTTTGGGACCGTTGTATAAGACATATATCGTATTGCTTCGGATAGTGCAGCTACCCTATATCATGCTGCTCTACTTGTTCGGGCCGTACACGAAACGCGGCCAACACTACGCGTTGCCCGTCAACCGGATGCTCAATTATTTGGCCTCGTACGTCTTGTTTCTTGTGTTTCTCACGTACATCAATAACCTAGACAAGACGCAGACGAATCAAAACTCCATGTATATCGCCATGCTCAAGTGTAAGCTTTTTGTGTACTTCATATCGTTCGTGGCGCGTACCTTCAGGTTGGTGTGTGTACAGGGGCCCAAACGGTATTTTCGCACGTTGTGGAACGTGTACGATTGCGTCAAGCTCGCCGTTTTTGCGGTAACGTTTTTCTGCTGGGCCCTGACGTACATCAACAGTGGCAAAGCCGCGGTCGACGACGACTCGATCACTACGGTTGATCCGAATGACCGCCGTTACTGGCACTGGACCAACCCTGTGTTGATTGCCGAGGGCATGTTGGCCATCGCCACAGTCATGTCATATCTGCGATTATTGTTTCTGTGTCAGCTCAGTTATGCGCTGGGCCCAATGCAGGTTTCGCTGGGCAAAATGACCACCGACTTCGCGCGGTTCGCTATACTGTTCGGTATCATTATACTGGCGTTCACCGCAGGCCTATGCCGGCTTTATCAATATTATGACGGAATGATACAGGTCAATCCCGCCTACAGTCGTGAGATCACGCAAGAGGATTCATTCGTCAGCGTGTACTCGACGCTGAAGACACTGTTCTGGGGTATATTTTGCATGACGTCGTCCACGGCCGGGTCGGTTATCATCGAGAACAACGGCGCGAACGACGTAACAGCGGCACTTGAGGAAATGCCGGCGGTCAACAACCACTACGTCACGCAAGCGGTGGGCACGTTGTTGTACGCGTTATTCGAAACGCTGTCGGTGATAATCATTCTGAACATGCTGATCGCCACCTTGACCAACACGTTCCAGAGGGTCACGGGAAACTCGTACATCGAATGGGTGTTCGGCCGCACCCAAGTTTTCTTATCGTTTTCCGTGCACACCGATCTTCCGCCACCGTTGAATCTGATTCCGTCGCTGCGTTGTTTCGTGGACACGTTCAGTTGTCTGTGCAAGTGTTGCAGGGCGGGCGCTAAGGGCTTCATGAACATAGTAACGTCCAAAGCTAACCACAAGAAAGATAATTCTGAGGACCTATACAAAAATCTTATGAGCAAACTGCTGAAAAGATATTTTCGTAACAAATTAACGGAAAACGTGGTCAGAAAATGTAGTCCAGCGTGTGGTTAAAACTTAGGTTTAAGAGATAGTTTTACTGTAGTTATAATTATTTTTGTTCTTTTTTCATAACTATAATATATTGGTTCTGATTCAAATCGAACCATAAATGATATGTGAATATTTGTTGTCAATGCATTTTTTTCATATTAAATATTTACAATAAATTTAATTAGTACGAGTTTTTATGCCTTGGTTTATTTTAGTGAAAGTAATTATTAATTACCTAATTAATTAAATATTTTTAAATATTACCTACTGTTGTTTTTTAGATGGCGCCACCGATGCCATTTGTGTATAAAAACTTTCGAAACGCAATACAATAACGTACAATTTCGGTGTAAACATTTCTCATTTTATTAACTGCGCATTCTAATACTATAAGTATTTAGTTAAATTATAGTTATAGTTAAACTGTAATTTCATTACGTTCAAAATGCATTGTACAATGCAAATTCTTCAAACTTATAGGATATAGATGATGGGTTAAATATTATTCACTAATAGCAATATTTACTTATCAACAAGCGTGAATAATTGCTGATGGTAGGCAAAATTGTCAAACCCTACATTAATCGACCAAATTTAGTTGTTACCCATGTTTTTGCCGATGAAATATTGGTTAATGTTTTTTTTCTATGTTCGTATTACGTATATTTAACAGATGCATTAACCAGTATTTCAATATTTTATAGGCGGAAACTTAGGTAGGTGAATAAATTTGGTCGATTAATGTATATACATTAATAAAACCGAAGGTTACCAACCGAATCATTGAATATTATTTGTTTGTAATATATAAAATAACTAATAAGGGAAAGTGGGACCAGATGTAAACACTTCAACGTGATACACGAATGTAATTCAAAATTATTTTTGATAATAATTAACAAGAAATTCCACACAAACCGACACGTTCTACCTATGATATAAGAACCTGAAGTGATATTAGTTTAGCGTTTCTAAATTCTAATATTTGTTTAAGCTTTGTTAATTTGTCAAGATTTTATATTATGTAACATACTTGATATAATACTTTTACAGTTGTGCTGTGTGGACATTGGCTTGTATACAGCGTTTAGTGCAGCAGCATAGATTAAATACATGTATTTAATCTATGGCAGCAGTCAGTAAAACGTAAATTATTATCAATTAAAACCATTACCATTGATTCATTGATTAAATTTGTATTCAATCAATGCCATTGTGTATAATATTTTAGTAATATGTACTGTGCTATTATCTATTTTATGGAAATTCAGTCAACGGTGGTGTCTCTGTTGATAAACGTTGCGCCAAACCGAATATATGCCCTTCTCGCAGTTTCTCCGTTATCAAATCGATTTTTATCTGAGTACAGACTACAGAGCTGCTGGTGCCGCGCCGATTGTTTGGTGTATACTGTATACTGTATAGACCTGAGTCTGTAGTTGATTCTGTTGATATTATTTGCTCGTTAATACTTATTGCTTAAACCAGATAATCCGTTCACATTAACCAACAACAAAACATCAACTGAAAGTATGTATGTGTGTGTTTGATTTAATAAATACGTATAGTAAGACGTACGTATTACGTATAGTAATACGAATATTAAGTCGTTGGTAGGCTAGTTAAAAAAAATGATATAATTGTATACTACGTTTCATTACTACCGACATGTATCAGAGAAACAATAATATGTAGTGTGTATTTAATAATAATAATCGATTTGCAATGGTTATCAAGTAAATGTTCCTTTTGTTCTTAAAAGTAATTAAACTCGGTGTACAATAGTGTGACGGGTACATTTGGCCACCCGTATAAACACTTGCTACACAGTACTGCGTAGCACTATTACGCTTACACTAGTACTGTTCTAGTGGTACTGCATCAAAGCTAATTAAATGTCGTTTATAATTTTGAGATTTTAATTAATATGATTTGAAAATTAATATTTAATCAGACGAGTCTATAATATACAACTTATTATGGTTATTTTTGATATTATTATTCAAAATAATAGATTTTTAACCATTTTGTTTTCTAACATTGAAGAGTAATTTGCATTCTGCGTTTCTGTTAATCTTTAATTACATTTTGGTTGTTATGTAGTGTATTAGAACGCAATAGAACCTGATTTTTAGTTGTACAATCAAATTGTGTATTTTAATACCTATGTCTGAAATATTGATGGTTGAAAATGTTTGTCTTCTACATGAATTTATAATATTCTTATTAGCGTTTATTATTTATACCAGTTTATTGATTTTGAGTAATTTTCTTAATCTTTAGTAAAAGTCCATAATGAAAGAAATGCTTGGTGGATGCAGTGTGTGCTGTGATGACACCGGATGGGCTGAAAACCCCTTGGTGTATTGTGATGGACCTAATTGTAACGTTGCTGTACATCAAGGTAAGTTTGTTATCAGTTTAAAAATGTATAACATCATTTACTTTATAATTTTCATTTTAATCATGATTTTTGTTTAAATATTATTAAATACAATTAAAATAATATTACATTTTTTGAAATATTAAAAACTAGCTTGTTATGGAATTCGGAGTGTACCCAAGGGAGAGTGGTTATGCAGAAAATGTGAAGCTTACAAGGAAAAAAATATTAAAGCGGTTTGTTTTTAAAGTCTTCATGTGATAATTTTTTTAAAATGCATCTTCTACATGTATAAAATTAATTTCAGAAATGTGAATTGTGTCCATCTAAGGACGGTGCTCTAAAACCTACTGAAAATGGTCAGTGGGCTCATGTTGTATGTGCATTATATATACCAGAAGTTACATTCTTAGATGTTACAACTATGGAACCAGTCAAATTGAGTGAAATACCTCGTGATCGCTTTAATAGAGTAATTAATATTAATTTACAATAAGATAGTATTTCGTTATCATGTTCATATCAAAATAACAGTAATTTCTTTTTGAAATCGACAAAAAAAATTTTGTTAAATCCTTGAGTTAGTTTTATTTTATAAAATAAGATATAGTTCCTTGAGTCAATTTGTCTATTTATAAATTGTTTTGTAATATTACACAATTCTACAAGATCAGCACACGTTCATTGGCGATTTCTATAGTGTTAGATTTAACTTTTAAATTTTGAAAAATTAGAATTTTTTTTTTTTCTAATTTCATTATTGCATGCAATTAGTTTATACTTATTTATATCAATTTATTCTTTGAGTTGTGATGATCAAACTAGGACTTTGCACCTAAACCATTAACCAAATAACCATTAACCCTGAAAGTCCTAACACCTGAAACCTTTATTAACCCAAATCATTTATAAAGCACCCCAATTAACCAAAACCTGAATAATTGCATAAAATCATTCCAGATCAACCATCAAGTTTAATGTATATATTATAATATATAATCTTATTTTAGTTGATTATATACATACGCTCGTACAAAAATTAATAGTTTGGTATTTTAGTTTTGCTTCCTTAAACTATGGTTCTCAGGATTTTTTTTTTTTAATCAGAATGAGAGAAAGGCCATATATAATATTCTTATTGAAAATAGAATAGTTTGGTATTCTGTATGTGTGTGTGTGTCTATTTCTGGAACGACTATTGTTAGTGACTATTCATATTCAAATTTTTTTCTAAAATATGATTAGTATGTTTTTTCAGTTGTGTTAAAGTACTTATAAAAGTTAAGTGACGATTGGGTGATTTTTTCATTTTGAAAGTAATATTTACCCGTTACTCTGGAACTTTTTTTTTTTCAACGACCATTTTAAAAGTTGGTTGGACAAGAGTTGCCATCCTGGGAAAGTGGGTATGGTGCAATGATTTCCTGTTGAAGGGCACCAGTCTGGTGGTTATTTCTCTCTCCAGTCAGTTGCCCGCCAAGGCAACCTATATATATATATGTATTAAAGTGTTCCTTATTTTTTACTTTTTTGAAATGTTATGCTCCCTAGGTCTCAAACTACTCAAGTAGGTGAAAAAAAAGGCTTTAAAAGTTTCAATGCTCTAACTCAATTTTACCCATGCTGCCAAGTCAGTGAAGTTTCCCATTTAAATAACACGGAATTATTGTTTTTAATATTTTAGGAAGACATAAAAAAAAAAATTAAATGTCACAATATACTCTTGCTATGATAAAAATAATGAATAATCTTAAATTAAAAAAATTACGTGCACATCAAGGGATACATCTTTATTTGCCTGTGTGTAAATGATATAAATTATATGAAAAAACAACGAAATTTAGCAGGGAAACTTGATATTTTGACTAGAGCATGTGCAAAATTGCCGAATAATTAATTTTTTTTTGAAAGTACCTGTTATACACAAACAACTCTCGTTAGTTCCATATTTTTAAGTTTTTTTTATGTCTTCCTAAAATATTAAAAACAATAATTCCGTTTTATTTAAATGGAAAACTTCACCGGCTTGGCGGCACGGGTAAAAGTTGAGTTTGAGCATTAAAACTTTTAGGGCCTTTTTTACCCACTAGAGTAGTTTGAGACCTTGGAGCATAAAATTTCAATAAAATCCAATATAAGGGTCACTAATATATAGACAGCCATTTTGATTAATTAATTTATTTCAGACGTGCTATATATGTGAAGAAAAGAATAATAAAGGATCAAAATCATCAACATATGGAGCTTGCATGTCATGTAATAAAGCTGGTTGCAAGTTGAGTTTTCATGTAACATGTGCTCAAAGCGTTGGACTGTTATGTGAAGAGGCTGGGATATATTACGATAATGTAAAATATGTTGGTTACTGCAAACATCATTATTCAAAATTGGTTAGTAGTTAGTGTAAAGTATCTATGCAGTTATTAAAGTTTAATAATAATTTAAAAAATTTCTAGAAAAAAAGTAATAACATAAAACCTATTGCGCCATATCGACCACAAAGTAATTTAGAAAATTCATCAGCAGAGTGTTCTCCTGAAAAGCAAGCGGTTTCTACTAAGGCTGACACAGATATTCAAGCAACTAAACAAAAAAAGGATTTAACTGAATTCAACAAAAAAAAATTGACCATCATAAATAATAATAGTAAATATTTTGTTTTAATTTTAGTAATACTTGCAATTAGTCATAATTTATCGTTTGTTAGATGATAAAACTGTAAATGAGAAAAAAATAAAAGAACTAAGTTTTCCAAATATTCCGAGTAATGAACGGAATAAATCACAACCGCATATTGTTTCTACGCATCCGTCTGGGAATTTGATTATTTCGATTGGAGCAAAACCCCAAACAATTACTTCAGGTATCAAAAATCTACATTCTAACGATTTAGAATCGGGAAATCCAACCAAATATCAGAAAATGGATAGTGTAATGAGCACTGATAAACCAAAAAAAAATCAAAATTCTGAAGTACTTAAAATTGTAGAAGAACCTAATTTATCTCGAATGGAAAATGCAAATACAATTATTAAGTCAAGTTAGTACATGTAAAATAACTTATTATAATAATAATCACTTATATAATAATATAATTAAATTCCCTTATGAGAATATATTTTAAAGCTATCCACAATAAAATAATTTTACACAGATACCCGTATTTTTCAACTATGTTTTCACTTACAGCACAAAAGGCAACTGTGAACATTTAGTTGTAAACTTAGTAGTGGTAAGTTTGTTATTAATACTGAAGACTATAACATAGTTGTTGATTTACACATATTCATGTATATAATTATACATTTTATTGTGGATAGTTTATTTTTTAATGACATTGAATTGAAATATAGTTAATTGTTTAGTTAAAAATCTGTTGCTTTTTCACAGTGTAAAAAAACATTTATTAAAAATTTTATCTTGTTCTCATTCATGTTCAATCATGTTAACTTTCAAATAGAACTTTTTGTTATTATTTTTTTTACAAAAAAGCAATACTTAATTTTATTTATTTAGTCGTTCAATTTTTTTTTTTATGTTAAATTTGCATTATGATATAATTCTTGGTTTATTTAGTATAGGTTAAAATGATTGGAAAAAAATAACGGTTGATGATAAAATATGTAATTTATTATTATTAATGTTTACAATATATCTGATAGTACTAAGCAACTATGACAGCTAGTGCTTAAAACTGACACTATTCTAATTATTATTTATATTTGTTTTTGTTTTTTAGTCTATGACCTGTTGGTCTGTTTGAACAACTCTTGCTCTACTAGAGACCAGAGTTGCCATCCTGGCTGGGGAAGTGTTTATGGTGTGGTGGTTTCCCGTTACTTTCTGCACCAGTTGGGTGGCCATTACTCCCTCCAGACGGTTGCCCGCTCAGCTAGAGAACCGGCCAGTGACTGAGATTCAAACCACGGCTAGTGCGTAGAAACTCTTCCGCGGTAACCCTCTCGGCTACAAGGCACGACATTATTTATATAAATGCCACCTTTGTTGCATCTTAGACGAGAGGGTTACCAGGGAAGGGCTTTTACCAGCTTTTATTTCTCTAGCTTGTCGGGCAACCGACAGGAGAGAGAAATAGCCACCCGACTGGTGCGGAAGGCAACCACAGCACCATACTCACTTCCCCGGGATGTTAACTCTTGTCTCTTGTGTAGCAAGATTTGCCAACCGACCTAAAAAGGTCATAGACTAAAAAAAAAAAATGTATTAAACGACATTTAGCTGTATCACTGCATTAACTATAATATATGTTCTCATTTGTTTGAACAATTCAACTGAAAATATTATTAGTTACATATTATTTTCACTAGTGCTTTCACAGATATGCAATAATAGTGATTGGCTTTAGGTATTAGATTATTTTTAATTAAAGAAAAAAAAATCCAATCGTTGTTTGAACATAATAAATGAAAAAATATCATTTAAATTCTGCCAAAAATGATTCAAGTCTCCCTGTTAGTGAACGTGTTTACAAATCAAGAATGCATTCTTTCAATGTACTACTTCCTTGAAATTGTTGTTATTTTTAATATTTAGATGTATCTGGAGCCAACAAATTACATCTACCTGAATCAAATGCAAGAAAAAATGAAACTAGTGTTATAAACATTCCATTTAATGCTACTATGCCTAAAAAAGAGCCTGAAAAAAAAATGTATGTAAAATTATACCTTAGTATCTAGTATATTTTGTATTATGCACAAAGAATATTTGAATAATTATTTAAATTTAGATTTGAAAATAATAGCAGTGCACCACATATGTTGGGAAATTCATTAAATCCTTCCTCCAGTATGGCACAAACAATGGCCGACACGTTGAGTGAAGAAATTGAAACCCATAAAAAGTATGGTGGAGATAAAAATTTGTCTGCTGGTCAACAACAGTCATCTTACAAGGGTCCTCAGCTGCATCGCCGTTTTCCAAAACCTTCAACTAGTCAATCGGTGAGTAATTTGATTTAATGCATTTGTATAAATTGTATTGTTTCAATATACAATTGTTGTACTTAAAAAGTATAAATTATTGAATATAGACATAAATTACAACATTTTTTAGACATTTATTATATTTAAAGTAGTGAAAAGGTAAAAGTATCTTTTTATTCTATTCAATTTTACATGAGAGTAACCTGCAAATGATATTTTCGATGTGTCCTTATGGGTAAGGTTAGGTAATCCAAACAACAAGTAAAAAAAAAATAAAAAGTGAATAATACTTCATTACCTTCTTATCTTTTTGAATACTATAAAATTTAAACTTATTTTTTTATTTTCAATAAGAAATTAATTTAAAACAGTTTATTTTAGTAAACTTATGAAATCTTTGATAGTTGAGAACCAATTTTTTTTACACTTTTTGAAATTTATTTATTACAATATTAAGAAGCAGGGTTCAGAAAATTGAGCATTCCTCTGTTAAAAAAGCAAAGTAAGGCTTAATCCATTTGTTTTTATTTTACTAATGGTGATTATGTGCTTTATAAAAGTTCTAATATTTATCTAGTTTTGTTTATTAACTGTTTAATATTTTTATTACCAGTAGCCGGAGTGATGCTCAATTAAAAAAAAATGATTCAATGTGTCATAATTATATTAAGCTTATACAAAAAATGTAATTTAAAAATTTCAATTGAAAATATTTATTACATGAATTTCAAGTTTTACAAATAGATAGTTTTTTCCTAATTATATATTTTTAATCTTTTCATTAAATTTCCAAAAAATCCTTAGCTGTCTCAATTGTACATTCAGTTGTGTATTACTGTTAGGGATATAAGCATGTAAAATTTAAAAATATCTGTAAACCAATGATTATACAGTCATGTTTCGGTTTTTTTTTATTATTAATAATAAAATGTTAAACCATTTTACAGAGTACAGTTTCTCAGTCTCAGGGATCAGCTTCTTCGTGGTCATCAATACCTAATGGACTTAACAACAGTACTCATGAATTGGAAGATTTACTAGAACGCCAATGGGAGCAAGGCGGTGCATTATTAATGGAACAAGCACAACATTTTGATAGTATGCTATTATTATTGTTATTTTTATTTTTATTAATGCTTTATTTTAAATTGTTTTATTATTGTATTTTAATGTTACAGTTGCTTCATTGTTAACTTGCTTATATCAGTTAAAAAGTGAAAACGTGAATTTAGAGGATGAATTAGCAACGTACACAAGACGCCGTGATCACTTATTAGCTGTTAATGCAAGACTTGCAATTCCATTACCACCTCAAAGTAATTCTATACCTTTAATTTAAATAAATGTGATTTAGGTCTCGTAGGGTTTGAAAAGAATATGTAAAATATATCGAATTTACTCCAAGTGAGTGGTTTACTTTACTAGGTAGTAGATATTAGCTTTGATGCAGAGCTGATAAGGTATTGTTTTTACAATTAGTGTTTTTGTTATTATTATCATTTCTTTTTTTTTTTGTGCTTCTGAATCAGCTATATCTTTTAAACCACTAAACCGATATTTTATGTAATTAGTCGTATAGATCAGAAATCGTACATGGGTTGCACTTAAATGTGCAAAAAATGTAAGAAATTCACTACTTCCCCTTCAAAATCAAGAAAAACTGATGCGCTAACTTTAAAAAAAACAGTCGACACAGTTCCAAATTTGAATGGAATGTTTATTAGACACAGTATTACTAATATACGTTGACAAACCAACTAAATATTAAAAAAAATTCCCGAAAAAGGGGTAAAAACTCTTTTTAGGTGTAGTTTGAAAATGTCTGAAAATTAGACTTAAAGTAGAGTTTTATATTCAATTTTTAAAAAATCTGTAGTCAATTTTTTTCATTAAGGAATAAAGGGAGAAATTACACTGCAGTAAATTTCTAGATTGCTATGTGAGAGTGAATCATCAGTAAATATCTAAAAAATAGTTTTATTATGTTGTTAATTACAATATATGAGAAACAACGGCAACTTATTATTATAGACGTCAATCAACCCTTATTGTATCTTCCCTTATACTCGAAGTATAATTTAAGTACATTATAGCTTTTATCAAATATTGTATTTCTACCATCTACAGATTTGCATCAATGCGTTTATTTAAAATGGATTTTGTTTCTTTTAGTTATGAGAATTCCTGTTAATCTGTGACCTCCTCCGTCCCCAATATGCTTAATCCCTAATAAGCCCCAACTCAAATGTACTGCCTTTTTATTATGTTTTTTTATATATTAGATACAGGAAACAGAACACCAGCATCGACCTCTTCAGCTCCTACTAGTAGTCATTCAGAAGCTTTTGTACATTCTAGACCTAATTATCAATCCAGTTTACAGCGCATCGATTCTCAGCTACAGCATAATTACCAGAATCAAATGTCAAACATGTAATATATAACATACAACAAAAATCGAAGATATAATAGTTTTGATTTGTCTTACTAGGCATCAAGTTCATCACAGTATGTCGAATAATATCCCATCTCATGTTGTCATTCGAGGTGGTGTTGGCCAGGATCCGCGATTAGACAACAGAAGACAGTCTAATCAAAACTCTGGTCAAATGAACTTAAATCAGATGTATCAACCGAACCCGCAACAGTTGCCCAGTATGGGGGTAAATATTAAATTTATTACTCTTATATTTTTCGTTTTAAACTGATAATTAATAAATTATTTTTTTCAGTTACCTCATCATCAGTTGGGTATGGATGGCCTTCCAAAGCATAGTTGAGAGCTTGTTCCTCACTCAGGTGAGCAATGTACTTCACTCTTAGCAGATTTTGTTTGGAAACATATAGCTTAAGCCTTGATAATCAACTATGTTTAAAATAAGCTCCAGTTAATTTATAGTGCATTAAAACATTTCGTTTTCTTAATTAATTATGAGATAAGATTATATTAATAATTAAATTATAAGTATTCTTATGGCATCTATCATCTATGCTATGTATTGTGTATATTTTAATCATGATTTTTTTCAAAATACTAAAATTATAGTATAATCTTGTTGTTGCATGTCAAAAATAATGTTATTATAGTTACCTCCTCAAAAAGTGCTTATAATTATTTCATTTCTACTAGATTATTAAGTGACAATTATTAATGTGTGTTAAATAATACTAAATCAGTTTATTATAATAATGGGTATAGTTTACTGTGTTAATATTAATACAACTTTGTGTTATAATATAATCGGTTGTATACACTGGATAGTTTTTTAACGCCCTACATTAGTTTACTCTTAAAATAATTGCATTTTTGTAGTGTTTCTTTTTAAAAACATTTTTACTTTTGTTAAAGTGAAATACAGAAAATATAAAATGTTTTATCTTTTTTAATATTTGCTAAAGCTCTAGCAACTTATAAAACTTTAATGGAAACATGTATATTTTAGCAACTTTTTAAATTGAGAATAATTTTAACTGATTTAGAATTAATAGTTAAAAAGTTATTTAAGTTTAAAATTTAGGAAAAGAAGTGGAGTTCGTCGGGAAATACGTGCAGATAAAAATAATTCTACTCTCTAATTCCCGTCTTAAATTTTAAACTTAAAAACTTATTTTTCAAAACTGGTTATCGACCAGTAAATATATTCTTATTCTAAAAAGTTCATTAAAAATACACTTAACCATTAAAGATTCAAAAGATGATGAAGCTCTAGGAAATACTAATGTATAATATAATAATATATATTGTAACATATATTGTAAATAATGTCAAATGAAAAATACGATTTAAATACATTTTTATGAATTTTGATTTAAAAAAGTATTAAAGGTCTTGATAAAAAATTATTGTACATTAAATCTTTGTGATAATACTATAATGTAAATTAAAACATCTCTAGATTGTATTAAGATTACTTTGAATGAAAAAACTAATAACTGATAAATTTAATATTTTTTTTTGTACTAGTAAAATAATATCATGTTTAACTTCCCAAAAGTTAAAACTAATTACTTTTTTTAAAACAATTTATATTGTATCACTACTCTATTTGCAACTATAACCGATTGCAAATTTTGATTGTTCACATTCATATATAAAAATTAAATATAATACTTCAATATTTGTAAATAATAATTTCTTGTAAAATAATGTCAATATAATGTGATTATTTGCCTAGAGTATTAATTAATACTATTGGTAAATGAGGGGAAATGTTACCCTTTTTTTAATTTTTTCAATAATTAATCACTTAAAGTATAAAGTTTTGAAATTAATTATGTATTCAACAATTATATACTTGTATTATTCTAAAATGTTTTTTTTTTCATGAATATTGACTTTTAGAATATTATTATAGTAACAATGTTTAATTTGCAACTTTTGACTGTTGTATTTTTGTTTTTTTTACATTATATTGTTTTTGTTTTGTTTGTTTTATTTTTATTATACACGAAAGTTGTAGATCTAATATTTAAATTTGAATTATTATTTACCTAAACCACCTTATGTTTTAAAGGATAGGCCTATCATTGAAATAACATGATGTTATAAGTAATTTATTTGTTATATTGTAAATATTTTATATTCTCATTTGTTTGCATTTTTGTAAATCTGTTCTATGTACATTCTTCATTTTGTTATCTCGTATGTATGATTTTTGTTATTTATTTTGTTTCAATTGCATTTTTGAAATGTCCCAAAAAAATGTATTTACACACACATATATATATATATATATATATATGGATCTAGGTTTTTCATAGTAGAAATCTATGATTATAACATTAAATATAATCATAATATTTTTGTTATTTTAAAAATTCAACCATTATTTTTTTTGATGGACTAATCAACTTGTAGGTATTAAATATTACTAACAATACTATTAGCAAAATATTGAATAATTATAACCAAACTAGTGTTCAGTCATATTGTATGCGTGTGTGTGTGTCGTATTTTTGAAATATAAAACAATTAAAAATAATTATTTTTTGGTTTGTTGTATAACTTTTTTATTTTCATACTTCGAATACTGTCTAACAAAAAGTTGTGTTATCGACTGATGATTGAGTAGGTATTTTATATTTTTCATTTCATGTCTACAACAGCCTTAAAAACCTGCGCTTACTTCAAATAATTTAGTGTATTTTTTCAGCTTTATAAACTAAATTGAATTTCACATTTTAATTTAACGCAAGACGAATACTTCATAATTATTAATAACTTAGAAACTGAAAAAACTAAATGGGATAGGTTGTAAACATATATGTATAAACGAATTTATGTCTGTTTGTCCTTTATGCATTACTACACCATTCATCCGATCGCCATGAAACTTTGGGAAGTTGTTGAGTACACTCCCGCGAAGGTTTCTGGCATAGAACTATTTAAAATTCCACCCCTAAAGTGGCCTCAAACACGAATTTTGTACTTAAAAATACGAATACGAATATTTGTATTTTTGGTTGCAAATCCAAAATAAACAATTGTTTGGTAACCACGGTGACCATTGGAATCTTACTCTAAATTCGTGCATTTCGTCGTGAGTTGAATCGATTTCAATTTTCATAACCTTTTGAATACTGAATTTTTTCATTTTACTCAGCGAATTTGCGAGCATTGTCGACAGTTATGCCCCCCAAATGTCAATCGATTGGTCGATCTACATCTCAAGCTCGAAAGAAAAGGGCATTACGAAAGCTAGTAATAAAAACGAGTAAAATATTTTACTAAAGAATCTGAATCGATAAAAGGGTCAAACTAGAGAACAAATTATGTTGTATATAGTACTATATATTATTAGTAGGTGGGTACCTACCGAGGGAATAATGACGAAGAGGGGAATTGGTTGGCATAGCAACAAGAAAATAAGCTTAGGGGGATTTACGGTCTTGGCAAAAAAACATCCCTACTTCATCGCATTACATAAATCAATAAGCGAGTTACCTTAAAAAGTCATTAAAATATTTGCAATTTCTGTTATAATCTCGGAGTTGTTTAAATCTTTAATTTGGTATGCAGAATGAGGGAGGTACAGTTTTTTTTCATTTCTTTATTTCAAACATAATGATCGCCCTTTTCCGCATTACCCCAATTTTGAAAAAAAAGTTATTTCTTAGTTTAAATTAATCAAATAATGTATACGCTCTCAAATATGGCTTAACTTGAATAGCCCAGGAAAGTTGGGAACTAAAAAGAAGTACCCGTTCTATTTTAAAAAGGCTATCCTACAAATAGCCATACTTGGGTATTTACTATTTTCCAGTTATGGACACTCAGAATTTTAACGTTAACAACAATTTCTAAGTAGTGAAGAAATGTTTTAAAATATATGTAAGTAAAATGATTTAGTTGTAATGCAATACGATTCAAATAAATTGGAACCCCAATAAAATATGTTAAATAAATAAATAATAATATATAATGTTTATAAATAACATTTTAACAATATCAGAAGTATATTTTTGTACACGTAAAAAAATTATGTTGCAGGAGTTTATTTGCAACCGTAACAGACATATTTTGTTGTTTTATTAAATAAAAACCATTTAAATCAAATAACATTTAGCTATAGTAACTTTGATTTTGTTTAATTAAAAATTAAATTTCAAAAGAACCATTTGGTATCCAATAAATACAACTAAAAAAATGTATTGTTTCAAGTAGAATCAAACTCATACACTAAAATTGTAAATCGTTAAATGTAGGTATGTCCTTTGAAGTTATCAGGTTAGACGATAAAAATAAGGGTTTCGATATTAATTATTGCAACTTTAGTCTCTGTACATAATACAAAGGTATTTAAGTTAATGACAAAAAGTTACTCCCTCCACCCATGATAATATCTAGAGAATAATTATTTTATGTACTCCATTTGTTAAAATTGTAAATCAATAATTATTGATCCTAATAACTACAATGTAGGTATAAGTTACCTTAATTATGTTTGTAATTATTTAATAGTTAGATAATATATTGTATGTCGAGTTCAAAAATCACAGTAATTACTTGTTTTAACCCCCCCCCCCCTCTCTCTTTGAAATACAACTATTAAAAGCTTAGTCTAAAAATAGTAAAAAACTTATTTTTATAGTTTTTTGATAGAATATATTAATTTTTAGATCAGTGTGGTGTAATCAGAAATTTTCGGAAGAAAGTACGTACTTGGATTTAACATTTGGACATACTACAAATATTGCTGAGTTTCGTAAAGTGATGCAGTGACATGTATCATAGGATTAAGAGTGTACTGCTAATGCAACGCCTATTTACAAGTTTGTCTTGTGAATAGTAGATGGTCAGTTGTGATTAACTATACATTAACTCAAGTTCCGGCGCATGAGCTTATACGTTTCCTGGTCTAGCTGTATTGTTCTTGCTTGTGGCGTCAAGTCTCTAGGAAGCAAACTGACCATAATTGTATCTAAACCTGCTCGTCATTTGGCTACTTAGCTATATATAATGATTGTTTGCCGTTAGGAAAAAATACATTCCTTTTTTTTTAGGAATGCATAACGAATACAGAGACTGTAGCTTCTATTTATATATACATATCATTTTTTAATAATTTGTTACTTATAATATGTGATTTTCATGTACTCCAAGTTAAAATGAAAAAAAGAGAGCTTGAAGCGGTCACTGCTGAAATGATTCCACCAAAGAGAAATATTTATATATGTGTGTGTATATAAATCTAAATAAAAACGTTTAGGTCACAATATCTATAGAATAATAATTATTCCATTATAATTATAATTAGGGGGCTTAAAATATTTTAAACACGTGAATTAAAAATACATAATTATACTATTATTTTAACAGTTATATATATATGCCTCTTTAAAATTTCGGTTAGGTTAGGGGGGTCGAACCCCTAACCCCCCGTACACGGGGTTCTTTAGACCGCTTTATACTGAAATATGATTGTATTGAATTTAAATTACTAAATGCAATACCGCTATAACTCAAAATGTTACTGTTTGTCACTTAACATATTACATGAAAATTAGATTTCATTCAGCGTAAGAACGCCACAAATTGAAGTAAGGCAGTCGTGAATTTTGACTTCAATGAATAATTAGGAAAATAAAAAACGTAATACTGACACATCTTTTTGGTGGCAAAATTAAAAGTGATATTAAATGTGACGTGTTTGGATTATATAGAGCTA